CTACCTGGACACCATCCTGCCCATCGAGATGAAGGGACGCAAGCGGCCGGAAATCGGTCAGAGGTTGCGCCTCAGTCAGGGCGACATTGCCCAGGCCAATCTGCTCTACAAGTGCCCCAAGTGCGGACGCACCTTCCAGGAGAGTTCGGGCATCTTCGCCTCGCCCTCCCACTACACAGCCGGAGCTCTGACCAATGAGACGGAGCACTGCGAGTGGCGGATAACGGCCACCTACGGAGAGCGGGTGGAACTGAAGCTGGAGAGTATGGTAAGGCTGGTGACCCCGATTCTCGCTTTTAATGCCATAAAAAGAAGGGGTTTCCCCATTAGCGTGCCTACTTTTAGCGTGCCTACTTTTCCAAATTTTCTAGCCCATTCAAATTCCCTTTCGATTTCATGTTAACTTTCTTATGATCTGTATACCAATTTGTTCAATAATTCTTAAAAAAGAAGGGGTTTCCCCATTACCGTGCCTACTTTTAAAGCCATTTATTTACAATTATTGGTTATACCTTGGGTTGCAATTTCTCCAAATTTTCTAGCCCATTTAAATCCCCTTTTGATTTGATGTTAACTTTCTTATGATCTGTATACCGCTTTCTCCAATAATTTTACCCATTTATTATTCTATGTAGAACATCTTCAAGTCGAACAACTGCGAAACGGACTACCTGGAGATTCGGGATGGCTACTTCGAGAAGTCGCCGCTCATCGGGCGCTTCTGCGGCAAGGTGGACAAGGAGGTGGTTCGCACGGAGTCCAGTCGCATGCTGCTCACCTACGTGAATACCCATCGCAGCGAGGGCTTCAGGGGCTTCAAGGCGGAGTTCGATGGTGAGTTGGGTGTAGTGGACTGCAGTTGGAGTGCTGAATGGGGAGATGGCAAATGAAAGTGGTCCTTGCAAGTTCCTGACATTCCGTTTCCATAGTTGTTTGCGGTGGCGAGCTGTCCGTGGACGATGGCGTGGGTCGTTTGGAGTCGCCCAACTACCCGCTGGACTATTTGCCCAACAAGGAATGCGTGTGGAAAATAACCGTGCCCGATAGCTACCAGGTGGCGCTGAAATTCCAGTCCTTCGAGGTGGAGAACCATGACAGCTGTGTCTACGACTACGTCGAGGTCCGAGACGGTCCTGCCCAGGATGCGCCGCTAATTGGCGTTTTCTGTGGCTACAAGCCGCCGCCGAACATGAAGTGAGTGCCGTGCTGAAGGAGATCCTCCTCTTCCCCTCCCGCTCTCTATAAAAAACGGAACTCTGCTTTTGTTCGCCCTCCCTTTGCAGGTCAAGTGGCAATTCGATGTACGTGAAATTCGTGTCGGACACATCGGTGCAGAAGGCGGGCTTCTCGGCCGTGTTCATGAAGGAGGTGGACGAGTGCGAGACCCAGAACCACGGCTGCGAGCACGAGTGCATCAACACATTGGGGGGCTACGAGTGCAGCTGCCGCATTGGATACGAGCTGCACAGCGACAAGAAGCACTGCGAAGGTGGGTTGACTGAGTAAAAGTGCTTCAGAATCTAATTATTACCCTTTGGATGGTAATAATAGCAGGGGAAAATAACTGGGAATTTTTAAACTAAATTATTTGAGTTTATTCTTGTTAATCGGTGAAGATAACTAAGAGTATAAAGAAGTTTAAAAATATATAATGCATGGAAATGTTTACTATAAAGTCAAATTTTGGTTTATACAAATTAAATAGTTTTAAAATAAGTTAGGAACAGTTTCTTTGTTTTAAATATTTAAAAAATGCTAATAGAAAGTTAAAGGAAAATTCAAATTTTAGTAAATTTTAAAAATATATAATACAAGGAAATGTTTATTAAAAGTCATAGTTTTGTTTATATAAATTAAATAGTTTTAAAAAAGTTAGGAACAGATTCTTTGCTTCAGCTATTTAAAAAATGCTAATAAAAAGTTAAAGAAAAATTCAAATTTTAGTAAAATTTAAAAATATATAATACAAGGAAATGTTAATTGAAAAGTCATAGTTTTATTCATACAAATTAATTAATTAAAAAAAAAGTTACGAACAGATTCCTTGTTTCAGCTATTTAAAAAATGCTAATAAAAAATTAAATGGAAATTTAAATTTAAGTAACAAGTAATGATTCATTACAGCTAGTTATTTCCAGTGCAAACTGAACAAAAACTAATTCCCTAACCAAATTCCCTCTTCATTCAGATGCCTGTGGCGGCGTCATCGAATATCCGAACGGCACCATCACCTCGCCCTCGTTCCCCGAGATGTACCCTCTGCTGAAGGAGTGCATCTGGGAGATTGTGGCCCCGCCCAAGCACCGGATATCGCTGAACTTCACCCACTTCGATCTGGAGGGCACGGCGCACCAGCAGTCGGACTGCGGCTACGACTCGGTGACCGTCTACTCGAAGCTGGGCGAGAACCGGCTGAAGAGGATCGGCACCTTCTGCGGCTCCGCCATTCCGCCCACGGCCACTTCCGAGAGTAATGCCTTGAGATTGGAGTTCCACTCGGACAAGTCCATCCAGAGGTCGGGATTCGCGGCCGTCTTCTTCACGGACATCGATGAGTGCGCGGTAAATAATGGAGGCTGCCAGCACGAGTGCCGGAATACCATTGGCTCCTACATCTGCATGTGCCACAATGGGTACTCGATGCACGAAAATGGCCACGACTGCAAGGAGGGGGAGTGCAAGCACGAGATCTCCGCGCCCTTCGGCACCATCTTCAGTCCCAACTACCCGGACTCCTATCCGCCGAATGCCGACTGCGTGTGGCACTTTATCACCACGCCGGGCCATCGCATCAAGCTGATTTTCAACGAGTTCGACGTGGAGTCGCATCAGGTAAATCTGATATATTTCTTGGCCAAGTAAGATATTAAATTCGCAACTCTTCAAGGAATGCACCTACGACAACGTGGCCGTCTATGATGGCGAATCCGAGTCCAGCGCGGTGCTGGGTCGCTTCTGCGGCGACAAGATTCCCTTCCCCATCTCCTCGACCAGCAACCAGATGTACATGGTCCTCAAGACGGACAAGAACAAGCAGAAGAACGGCTTCACGGCCTCCCACTCGACGGGTAGGCAGCCACCCCCTTTTGAAACCCAAAACCCGCCTTAACCATATAATTTCGATAATATTCCTGCAGCCTGCGGAGGTTACTTGAAGGCCACCAGCCAGGTGCAGCAGTTCTACTCGCATGCGCGATTCGGTAACCAGGACTACGACGACGGCATGGACTGCGAGTGGACCATCGCGGCCCCGGACAACAGCTACGTGCAGCTCATATTCCTCACCTTCGACATCGAGAGCAGCGAGAACTGCACCTTCGACTATGTGCAGGTGTTCTCTGATATAGACGATGTGTACGGGCAGTACGGACCCATGTACGGCCAGTACTGCGGCAATGTGGTAGGGAAATCTAACTGGGTTACCTTGGGAACTTGATAATTAAATTATAATACCCTTACAGCTGCCGCAGGACATTAACTCCATGACCCACTCCCTGTTAGTTCGCTTCAAGACCGATGGCTCAGTGCCCATGAAGGGTTTCTCCGCCTCCTACGTGGCCGTTCCAAATTCCGGGGAGTACGACCACTCCGACGAGGATGCGGAGAACTCGTACAGCTCCGAGATGGTCACCCCCTTCCCGGGCTCCCTCAAGAGCATATACATCGAGGACACGCAGGAGGAGACGGACGAGTACAGCGACTTCAGCGGCAACCAGCTGGTCTTCAACGGGCAGTACCGGGGTCGCTACAGTCTGCCCAATCGCTACTACTCCGGCAAGGCCAAGTAGAAGTACAAGTAGAGGAATATCGATGCGATGGGAACGCCGACCAGGCACCAAGATTCATGACAATATATTAAAACGGAATTTATTTAACAGATTTAGGCATATCGTCGCGTACATAAAACGAACTTTCCCGATCTTCCACGCGCACTCTCTGCTGGCTGCGACCAGGATATAATCAAGGACCTCGTCTAGGTCGCGATCCAATACTAGTTTTAGGTTTTAGGCACTCGAATGCAAAGTCGGCCCAGATCCGTGGTGGCAATTACTTAGACCTATGGCATACATGTAATGTACTTTGATTAGACTCTGTAGCAATTTCCCCGTGCATTTCACTGAAGCATTTTCCCCCTTTCTTCTAAACTCTACCATGTGCCATACTCTCAATGGTCCAGCGCATTTCGTTAAGCATCTTAGGCATAAGGCGATGGGATATCATCAAAATATCAAAAGCGGAACGGAAGTTAGGATAGGAAGGAGGTGCACACACACATATCTTCGGATGCGGCTGGAGATGAACTTTTCACGCAGGCATACACATATGTACAACTCTCTCGGATATTTGACTCAACTTAATACGTAATTAAATCTATACATACATACTATTAAAACTTGCATAGTAACTATGTTTTAAAACCAAAACAAAACGAGTTTGAAGTGGGATATTTTTGGGTCTAAATGCTGGAAGGGCTATAAAGCTATAAAGTTCCACCTTGCCACTGCAGGCAGAAGCGCCATGTCGATTGAATAGCATTTAGAGGTGGAATTACCGCGAAGCGATTCGTTCATGCGGGGGATTTATGATCATTAATGACCTGCCCTAAAGGGCCGAATACCTACACCTGATCCTGAGCCTAAGCAAATGCCCCTGAGCCCGGCCAGCGCCCCAGGTAGATGGTAAATGGTATATGTCAAGGTGCGCAGGGATACTGGGATACCCAAATCAAAATCCATTGAATGCAAACAGGCAGACAATGGATGGTCGGATGGCCAGAATCGCCAATGCTGCTCACGCTCTCCCTCCATCGCCATAGAGCCGTCCCTTCGAGCGGTCAGTCGAGATTCTGCAGTTCCTCCCTCCCTGATTCCCCTTGGCCTCAAAGATTCTCATCTGTTTCTGTTACCTGCTCGATCCGTGGAACCCTCGTTTCACCAGTATAATTCGGCAATCGCAGACCACGAGCGCTCAGTTAGAACTTTGAACTGGTTGAAGCAACTTCAGGGAACGAGCCCCCAGAAATACCAACGAAATGGAAGGAATTCGAATGAAAGCGAAACTATTTGCGTTCTCTGTGGGAGCTCTGATGATGATGGTTTTTATGCTGGACTTTGCAGAGGGCAGGCGACTGAGTACGTTGCCCGAAAGTGAGTGCGATTTTGACTTTAAGGAACAGCCGGAGGATTTCTTTGGTATGCTGGACTCTCCGCAGGTGAGTGTTGGCCACCTCACGTGGTTGAGAGTTGAATAACAATCGGGGGTAACCACAACAGGTGCCGCCAAAGGAGCTGGATGAGCCGAGGGATGACAGCCATCAACAGGGGAAAGACAGACAATATTCGGGGTAAGTTGCACAGGGATTTAGCCCACACAATGGCGCGCAATTAGTCGGGGCCACTTGAGTTTTCCCTTTGCCTTGGGGCCAACACGTAAGCAATACCTGAGCTCATAAGCCCATTGAACCACCCAACCAGGAGACGCCGGAAGCAGAACAAAGCTGGCTCGAGATTACCCCCTCCACTTCTCTGGACCGATGATTCGGTGGATGTCCTGCAGCACAGTCATTCGCCTATCCAGAATTTAGATGGGAAATCTATTAAAAGACAACGAAGAGCTGTGACTGTGCGAAAGGAGCGAACCTGGGACTACGGGGTGATTCCCTACGAGATCGACGGCATCTTCAGTGGAGCCCACAAGGCGCTCTTCAAGCAGGCCATGCGCCACTGGGAGAACTTCACGTGCATCAAGTTTGTGGAAAGAGATGCGAGTCTCCATGCGAACTACATCTACTTTACGGTCAAGAATTGCGGGTAAATATATAAATTATAAAAATATAAATATATATTAAATATCTCCCTTTTCCCCCAGTTGCTGTTCGTTTCTGGGCAAGAATGGCAACGGTCGCCAGCCCATCTCCATAGGTCGCAACTGCGAAAAGTTCGGAATCATCATCCATGAGCTGGGCCACACCATTGGCTTCCATCATGAGCATGCCCGCGGTGATAGGGACAAGCATATCGTGATCAACAAGGCGAATATCATGCGGGGCCAGGAGTACAACTTCGATGTCCTGTCGCCGGAGGAGGTGGACCTGCCGCTGCTGCCCTACGATCTCAACTCCATCATGCACTATGCCAAGAACTCGTTCTCGAAGAGTCCCTACCTGGACACCATCACACCGATTGGCATTCCGCCGGGCACCCACTTGGAGCTGGGTCAGCGAAGGCGTCTCAGTCGCGGCGATATTGTCCAGGCCAATCTGCTCTACAAATGCGCCTCCTGCGGAAGAACTTACCAGCAGAACTCCGGGCAAATAGTGAGTCCACACTTTGTGTACTCGGGCAATGGATTGCTCACCGAATTCGAGGGCAGCGGAGATGCCGGCGAGGAATCCCCGCCAGACTCTGAATTCGACGCCTCGCTGACGAATTGCGAGTGGCGGATCACGGCCACCAATGGCGAGAAGGTCATCCTGCATCTGCAACAGCTGCATCTGATGAGCTCCGAGGACTGTTCGCAGGATTACCTGGAGATCCGCGATGGCTACTGGCACAAATCGCCTCTGGTTAGACGCCTCTGTGGAAATGCCAGTGGCGAGGTCATCACCACGTCGACGAGTCGCATGCTCTTGAACTATGTGAACCGGAATGCGGCCAAGGGTTATCGGGGGTTCAAGGCGAGATTCGAGGGTGAGTTTTTAGCTATTCTTTAAACCACAACTATTTATTGATTAATCTTTAATTAACTTTCACAGTGGTCTGTGGTGGCGATATTCAGCTAACCAGGGATCAGTCCATAGACTCGCCCAACTATCCACTGGACTACATGCCCGACAAGGAGTGCGTGTGGCGGATCACAGCTCCGGATAACCACCAGGTGGCCCTAAAGTTCCAGAGCTTCGAGCTGGAGAAGCACGATGGCTGTGCCTACGACTATGTGGAGGTGAGGGATGGCAATCACAGCGATTCCCGGCTGATAGGACGCTTCTGTGGGGACAAACTGCCGCCCAATATAAAGTAAGTTGGTTTAAAAGGCAAGCTGAACAACTAAATTAATCAATTTTAACCACCCAGAACCCGCAGCAATCAGATGTACATACGATTCGTCTCCGATGCCTCGGTGCAAAAGCTGGGCTTCTCCGCCGCTTTAATGCTAGATGTGGATGAGTGCAAGTTCACGGATCACGGGTGTCAGCACACGTGCATCAATACCTTGGGCAGCTTCCAGTGCGGCTGTCGTGCGGGCTACGAGTTGCAGGCGAATGGCAAGACCTGCGAGGATGCCTGCGGCGGTGTGGTGGATGCCACAAAGTCGAATGGTTCGCTCTTCTCGCCCTCGTATCCGGATGTCTATCCCAATTCCAAGCAGTGCGTTTGGGAGGTGGTTGCCCCACCGAACCACGCTGTCTTCCTGAACTTCACCCACTTCGATTTGGAGGGCACGCGGTTCCATTACACCAAGTGCAACTACGACTATCTGATTATCTACTCCAAGCTGAGGGACAGTCGGCTGAGGAAGATAGGCATCTATTGTGGACACGAACTGCCGCCGGTGGTGAACTCCGAGCAGAGTGTCCTGCGGCTGGAGTTCTACTCGGATCGCACGGTGCAGCGGAGTGGTTTTGTGGCCAAGTTTGTAATAGGTATGCTGGATAAGGAAAAGCTTTGGGAGGTTACTGATATATTTTTATCCCGCAGATGTGGATGAGTGCTCCATTAACAACGGTGGCTGCCAGCACAGGTGCCGGAATACCTTCGGTTCGTACCAGTGCAGCTGCCGGAATGGCTACACGCTGGCCGAGAATGGACACAATTGCACGGAGACGCGTTGCAAGTTCGAAATCACCACGTCGTATGGAGTGCTGCAAAGTCCCAACTATCCAGAGGACTATCCCCGTAACATCTACTGCTACTGGCACTTCCAGACCGTCCTGGGCCATCGCATTCAGTTGACCTTCCACGACTTTGCGGTGGAGAGCCACCAGGAGTGCATCTATGACTACGTGGCCATCTACGATGGGCGCTCCGAGAACAGTTCCACTTTGGGGATTTATTGCGGTGGTAGGGAGCCCTACGCCGTGATTGCCTCCTCCAATGAGATGTTCATGGTCCTGGCCACGGATGCGGGTCTGCAGAGGAAGGGCTTCAAGGCCACCTTTGTTTCGGAGTGCGGTGGCTACTTAAGGGCCACGAATCACTCGCAGACCTTCTACTCTCATCCGCGATACGGAAGTAGGCCGTACAAGAGGAACATGTACTGCGACTGGCGCATTCAGGCGGATCCCGAGAGCAGCGTTAAGATCCGCTTCCTGCACTTCGAGATCGAGTACTCGGAACGGTGTGACTACGACTACCTGGAGGTCACCGAGGAGGGCTACTCGATGAACACGATCCACGGGCGGTTCTGCGGCAAGCACAAGCCGCCGGTTATAGTCTCCAATTCGGACACCCTGCTGCTGCGATTCCAGACGGACGAGAGCAACTCGCTGAGGGGCTTCGCCATCGCCTTCATGGCCGTGGATCCGCCGGAGGATTCGGCGGGCGAGGATTTCGATGCGGTAACGCCCTTTCCGGGTTATCTTAAGAGCATGTATTCCTCGGAGACGGGAAGCGAGATCCAGCCACTCGCTCATTTGCTGCCGCCCAGCAGGCTAATGTAGAGGAAGTCGGTGTCTTATGTTTGTTGTTGAAATTTGTAAATAGATTGTGAATAAAACTTATTTCGAAATAATATTTGGTTTTTATATATTTAAGTTTAGTTTTAACCAGGGACCGTAAATAACAGTTACTTGAGACTTTTATTTTAAAAAGACTACTGTGATATTTTGTTTTAAACGTCAAAAATAACACTCTTTTTACTCTTGTCCACAAAGCTTATGCATTTCAACAAATCTGGAAAGCAAATAAACTGTTATTTGTTCATGTCTATAAAGTGCATAAAAACCAGTTAAATTGTTAATTAAAACTTGTACAAATCTTGTACAAATAAAAATCACAAATAACTGTTATTTACGGTCCCTGGTTTTTTATATAATAATGTTTAGTTTTAACATTTAATTATATTTGAATTCAAATTCAAATTTAAACTACCCGCTTTAAAACGAAATACCTCGTTCACACTATTTGTATCGATAAAAAGTGTTGCACAACGAATAAATGGTAGGAGGGTGTCTCCGCTTTGTCCGGAGTGTGTATCCGCTGGGTCATTTCTGTTATTATAAGCGAATATACTCACCTTTTAGAGTGACCGTTCGGAATATTTTTGAGTAAATACAAGTGGTATTTCATGGAGCCAACTGTCACACTATTCGGCGGCGTCGGTTTGAATTTGGATTTTTTTGCGGCGACGCGCTAACTTGTTTAATTGCTGTTTGTTGATTGTGCTAAGTGTTTAGCTCTGTTAATGGGCCACTAAGTTCGCTGCGTGACCGTCTTTGTTTAGTGCAAGTGTTTTCTGTTTTCGGCCAGCGCCCGCGATGAGCGCCTTTGAGGTTAGTGTTTTTGGGGCTCCGAAAATGGTTCCCCTCGAAATAACAGGACTCCCGATATTTGATATTTGCAGATCACCGTGACGCCATCGCGTCTCAAGCAAAAGAAGCGCGCCGAAGGACGCGAGCCCGCCGTGGTGGTCATGGCTCCGTTCTCCGCGAAGGCGATTGTGCAGTTCGAGGATGTGCCGGTAACCAAGACAGCCAGGCGCCAGGTGCGCGTCCTCAATCCCAGCGACGAGGACATCGAGGTTAGTGGGTTACCGCCTGCCTGGCAACTGGTATTTAATCAATGCCCCATTTTTCAGGTCAAGGTGATGAAGGCCATTCGGGAGGAGCACAACCTGAGCCTCGAGTGGCTGGAGCACATCGTGCCCGCCAGGGACGAGGTCTCCATGGAGCTGGTCTGGAGCCCCCAACTGGAGGTGGCCTGCAAGGAGACGCTGCAGCTGATCGACAACCGCAACTTTCGCAAGGAGGTGATGATCATTCTGAAGTCCAAGAGCAACCAGCCCGCGAAGGTCAGTCGAAAACTGCATTTCCCACCCCATACCTTCCACTCACCCTTTTCTGCATGTCTGTTTTATTTTTCTACCTGAAGAACCCGCGCAAATTTCCCACCGTCGGCAAGACCCTGCAGCTGAAATCACCGACAGGCGCTGGCAAGACAATGAAGAGCGTGGCCACCGCTGCTGTGCAGCAAAAGAAGCGAATGTCTGCGGCGGCGGCGGCAGCAGCAGCAGCTCCTTCCGCCAAACTGACCTGGCGACCCTCTGCTGCCACCCGTCCTTCTGCCCGTCCTAATCCTCCTCTAACCGAGAAGAATGTCTACAAGCCGCCGAAGGAGGACCCCGTCTACATATCACCACAGCCGCGCAGCCTCAAGGAGAACTTGAGTCCCATGACTCCGGGTAATCTTCTGGACGTGATAGACAACCTACGGTTCACACCGCTCACCGAAACGCGAGGCAATGCGACCATTTTGCCGGACAATCTGACCGCCTGGCCCACACCCACCCACCCTCGACCGCGTCGACTCACTCCAGATGACCTAGAAGATCAGCCGGCCACAAACAAAACCTTTGATGTGAAGCATGGCGACACCAACATTTCGCTAGACACTTTGGACAGCTCCAGAAGCGAGGTACAAACGCAGGCGCCCCTGAACAAAACCACCACCATTGCGGTTCATATGCAAACCAGAGCTCTGGCCTGTATTCACGAGGAGGAGGGCACCAGTCCGCCAAAGACCTCCGTTCAAGATCTTAAAAGGGACATCAAGCTGGTGGGCTCACCGCTGCGAAAGTATTCCGAGTCCATGAAGGATTTGTCGCTGCTGTCGCCGCAAACGAAGTTCGCCATCCAGGGCTCCATGCCTAATTTGAATGAGATGAAGATCCGGTCGATCGAACAGAATCGCTACTACCAGGAGCAGCAAACCCAGGTGAAAAGCAAGGACCTGAACAGTTCTTCTAGCAGCGAGGCCAGTTTGCTGGGCCACCAGGAGTTTCAGTTCAATCACAACGAAATACTCGCTCAGTCGAGTCGCTTTAATCTGCACGAAGTGGGTCGTCCGATTAAGAATCCCCACAAGCGTCGCTCCCATGAGCTAAGTTTCTCGGACTCGCCCAGCAACGAATCTCTGCATCGCAACGATACAATGGCTATTTCGCCGCCCAAGAAGCAGCGGGTGGAGGACACCACGCTGTCGAGAAACGCTGCACCGGCAAATGCATCCGCCCGCAGCAGCAGTGCCCACGCCTGGCCTCCCGCTCAGTCAAAGAAATTCAAGCTGGCGCAGACCATGTCGCTGATGAAGAAGACCACCACACCACGAAAGGTCAGGGAGAATAGCGTACAGGCGCCCGTCAAGCTCTACGACTCGGAGCTTTACATGCAGACGTACATCAACCCGGATCCCTTTGCAGCCACCACCACAACGGATCCCTTCCTGGCCTCCACCATGTACCTGGACGAGCAGGCCGTGGATCGCCATCAGGCTGACTTCAAGAAGTGGCTTAATGCCCTGGTTTCCATCCCAGCCGACCTGGATGCGGACACAAATAGCAAAATAGACGTGGGCCGGCTGTTCAACGAGGTGCGCAACAAGGAGCTCGTGGTGGCGCCCACCAAGGAGCAGCAGTCCATGGACTACCTCACCAAGTACCGCCTGGAGACGCTGCGTCGGGCGGCGGTGGATCTGTTCTTCAGCGAGCAGATGCGCCTGCCCTGCTCCAAGGTGGCCGTGTATGTGAATAAGCAGGCTCTGCGCATCCGCAGCGATCGCAATCTCCACTTGGATGTGGTCATGCAGCGCACCATCCTGGAGCTGCTGCTCTGCTTCAATCCTCTGTGGCTGCGCCTCGGACTGGAAGTGGTCTTCGGCGAGAAGATCCAGATGCAGTCGAATCGAGACATCGTGGGCCTCAGCACCTTTATCCTCAATCGCTTGTTCCGGAACAAGTTCGAGGAGCAGAGGTACAGCAAGGCCTACACACTCACCGAGGAGTACGCGGAGACCATCAAGAAGCACTCGCTGCAGAAGATCCTCTTCCTGCTGCTATTCCTCGATCAGGCCAAGCAGAAGCGCATTGTCAAGCACAATCCGTGTTTGTTTGTCAAGAAGTCGCCGCACAAGGAGACCAAGGACATCCTGCTGCGCTTCTCCTCGGAACTGTTGGCCAACATTGGGGATATAACGAGGGAGCTGCGTCGCCTGGGCTACGTCCTCCAGCACAAGCAGTCTTTCTTGGACGAATTCGACTACGCCTTCAATAACCTGGCCGTGGATCTGAGGGATGGAGTGCGGCTTACGCGCGTCATGGAGGTCATTCTCCTGCGCGATGATCTCACCCGCCAGTTGAGAGTGCCCGCCATCTCCCGCCTGCAGAGGATCTTCAATGTGAAGCTGGCTCTGGGCGCTCTGGGCGAGGCCAACTTCCAGCTGGGCGGGGATATCACCGCCCCGGACATCGTGGACGGGCATCGCGAGAAGACGCTTTCGCTGCTCTGGCAGATCATCTACAAGTTCCGTTCGCCCAAGTTCCATGCGGCGGCCACGGTGCTGCAGAAGTGGTGGCGTCGTCGCTGGCTTTATGTTTCCATCCAGCGGCGCATTCGCCACAAGGAGCTGATGCGACGCCACCGCGCCGCCACTGTCATTCAGGCCGTTTTCCGGGGCCACCAGATGAGGAAGTACACCCGGTTGTTCAAGGCGGAACGCATCCAGGCAGCCATAATCCTGCAGAAGTTTACGCGTCGCTACTTGGCGCAAAAGCAGCTGTACCAGAGCTATCACAGCATCGTCACCATCCAGCGCAGGTGGCGGGCTCAGCGACTGGGAAGGCAGTGCCGCCGGCAGTTCCTGCAGCTCCGCCAGGCGGCCATCTTTCTGCAGCGCATCTGGCGGCGTCGTCTCTTTGCCAAGAAGCTACTGGCGGCGGCGGCCACAGCGCGTCTGCAGCGATCCCAAAAGCAACAGGCAGCTGCCAGTTACATCCAAATGCAGTGGCGAAGTTATCAGTTGGGCAAAGTTCAGCGGCAAAAGTTCTTGCGGGAAAGGGAGCTAATCATCTTGGTCCAGCGCAGGATGAGGGCCAAGTGGAGTATGATAAAGCAGCAAAGGGAGTTTCGGAAACTTAAACAGGCTGCTATTAATGTGCAACAGCGCTGGAGAGCTCAGCTATCGATGAGAAAACATAGGGCTGAATATTTATCACTCCGCTCCAAGGTCCTTAAAATCCAGGCTCACAGAAGAGCCACTATCCAGATGAGAATCGAACGGAATAACTACCAAGCTGTAAGGAAAAGTGTAATCTGCTTGCAACAGCGCTTAAGAGCCACTTGGAAAATGCGTGAGGAGAGGAAGAAGTATTTCCAGCTTCGGGAGTCCACTATACTCATTCAAAGACGCTATCGGCTGCTCCGCAAGATGAAAGAGGATCGCCTTGCTTACTTGAGAGCCCGTCAGTGCATCATCAAGGTGCAGAGACGCTGGCGAGCCACCTTGCAGATGCGTCGAGAGAAAGAGAGCTACCTTCAGTTGCAATCCGCCGCTAGATGCATCCAAGAAAAGTACCGCGCCAAGCATCAAATGGAAAAGCAAAGGGCTGAGTTCACTCAGCTCAAGAAAGCAGCTTTGACAGTGCAACAACGTCGACGGGCTGTACTGCAGATGCGAAAGGAGCGCCAGGAATATCTGCAACTCCGAGAGGTAACCATCAAGCTGCAACGCAGGTTCCATGCCCACAAGGCCATGAGGTTCATGCGAGCCAAGTACCGCGGCACCCAGGCAGCGGTGAGCTGTCTGCAGATGCACTGGCGTGGTCATCTGCTCAGGAAACGAGAGCGCAGCAATTTCCTGGGGCTGCGCCAGGCAACCATCACCTTGCAGCGACGATACCGAGCTCGTCTGGCCATGATTAGGCAATCTAAGATGTATAACCAGCTCAAACAGGCAGCTATTACCGTTCAAAAACGATACAGAGCGAAGAAGGAGATGCAAAGGCAGGTAATCCACTACCAAAAGCAAAGGGAAGCCATTATAAAAGTGCAGCGGAGATACCGCGGCAAGTTGGAGATGCGGCAGCAGATGGCGGAGTACCAAAAGCAACGCCAGGCAGTCATCCGCATTCAGAAATGGTGGCGCAGTGTGTGTGAAATGCGTGTTCTTAGAAAGGGCTACCGCAGGATTCGTCTCAGCTCGTTGAGCATTCAGCGCAAGTGGCGGGCCACTGTTCAAGCTCGTCGCCAGCGGCAGATCTTCCTGGACACCATTCGCAAGGTGCGATTGATGCAGTCCTTCATCAGATCCACCCTGCTGATGCGAGAGCAACGCAGGGCGTTCGAGAAGCAGCGAATGGCTGCGTTGGTACTGCAACGCCGGTTCCGCGCCCACAAGGCCATGCTAAAGGCACGACAGGATTACCAGCTAATCCGATGCTCTGTGATCCTGGTGCAGCACCGATTCCGTGCTAATCGCAGCATGAAAAAAGAGCGACAGCAGTTCGTCCAGCTGCGTACTATAACCATTCATCTGCAGCAAAAGTTCCGGGGCAAGCGGTTAATGGTGGATCAACGCAATTGCTTCCAACTGCTCCGCAAGACTGCTCCCCACTTCCAGGCCCATGCCCGTGGCTTCTTGGCTCGCCAACGATTCCAGGCCCTGATGACGCCCGAGATGATGGAGCTAATCCGCCAGAAGCGCGCCGCCAAGGTAATCCAGAGATACTGGCGTGGCTATCAAATACGGCGGCGCCAGAAGCACCAGGGACTCTTGGCCATCCGCCGGCGGATTGTCCAGTTGCGACAGGAGGCAACTGCTGTGAATTCTGTGCGCTGCAAAGTCCAGGAGGCGGTTCGCTTTCTGCGAGGTCGCTTTATTGCTTCCGATGCCCTTGCTGTCCTAAGCCGTTTGGGTGAGTATCTATAGGGCTAAGCCATTAGATGACTTAACTAATCCTTAATCCCTTTAGATCGCCTTTCGCGCACTGTGCCACACCTGCTGATGTGGTGCTCGGAGTTCATGTCCACATTTTGCTACGGCATCATGGCCCAGGCCATTCGCTCGGAGGTGGATAAGCAGCTTATCGAGCGCTGCAGCCGGATCATCCTAAACCTGGCCCGCTACAACAGCACCACGGTGAACACGTTCCAGGAGGGCGGCCTGGTGACCATTGCCCAGATGTTGTTGCGCTGGTGCGACAAGGACAGTGAGATATTCAACACGCTGTGCACCCTCATTTGGGTATTCGCTCACTGTCCCAAGAAGCGAAAGGTAACTGGGAAGTGGGAAAGGGTTCTGAGCTATAGGATATTTATTAAATATTTTCTATATACGGTTTACAGATCATTCACGACTACATGACCAACTCGGAGGCCATTTACATGGTGCGCGAAACGAAGAAGCTGGTTGCTCGCAAGGAGAAGATGAAGCAGAATGCCCGCAAGCCTCCGCCGATGACCAGTGGACGTTATCAGACCCAGAAGATGAACTTTACGCCCAGCTCCCTGCCCAGTTTGGAGCCGGACTTCGGCATCATCCGCTACAGTCCCTACACGTTCATCTCGTCCGTTTACGCCTTCGACACAATCCTGTGCAAGCTGCAGATCGACATGTTTTAGACCTAGTTAAATTCGCCTCTAAATGTTAAATGTTTGAAACGTTTTCGTGTTGTGTTTATAATAGTAAGAAGCTAATTTTACTGAGACAATCGATCGTAAATTAAGTAAATTTAAGAGGACCTTAATGCTAGCATGTAAATGAAGAAATCGAAATTGTAACTGATAGTCTAGTAACGAAACTAAGTTTATTGTTTTTATGAGAAATTACAAAAGGAGCTAAGAAATAAAGAAGACAATCAAACTCGTTTTGCTTGCGCCGTTTTGCGGCGCCTATGTTTATTCGGGTAGGTATGCTTGTATTCACAAATCAATTACATATTTTTGTAATCATATAGTTAAATTAGTAATCACTTTGTCAAACACCTAGTTACATCGATATTAGTATGCAGTGGTTGCCCAGTATTCGTGCTCCTCCGCCTGCGACCACAACGAATGCCACTCGTGTCGCTCCTTTTGAGAGAGATTGCCCCAAGTATATAAGTTTAAATCCGCGTGTATATTAATAATGCCCCTTTAAAATGTACATACATATATATGTGGAGTACTGTAAATTGGATTGAATATGCATATATAATAGATTCGTATAACATTTTATGTATTTCTTCCTTGATAATTGCACACGCCATTTCATTCGATCGCTCTTTTTTTTTGGGTTTTTTGCAGTTCTGTTTCATTTGGAGGCTGCCGTTAAACGTCTCGATTTAAAAACTAAACATAATTTGGCTCTAGCGATTTAATATAAATATTTTTTGGGGACGAGGGGCGTGCAAAGGATTCGGTTGGATTCAAAGACATTTAGATTGGCTCCTGAATGTGCTTTAAGTTGGGAGAAGAGTCTGAGAGCTTTTTGCAAGTACTTCCTTGATAAGATTTAGATAAGCTGGACTCCCAGATGAATGGCGCACGGCTGGATGTGGATAAGTGCGTCATCCGAAGGGAGGATTAGGCCCGGGATAATTTAACGCCGGCCCAGGCCAAAGTTGAAGGGTTGCGGGCGCGTCGTCCGCTTGTTCTGTCGTCCTGGTCGCACTGAAAGTCGAGGGATTAAAAGGATATAGGGATTATCCTTATGAAAGTCTTGAGTATGACTTACCACCTCGCTCGGCAGCCAAGTAGTTCGCCGGCGGCACTCGGTAGTCGACCACGTTGTCCTCATCGTAATCGTAGTCGCTGCGCTTGCCCAGTCCGAAGGAGTAGGGACGCGACCTCTTGCCCAGGCCAAAGTTGTAGACCGGCAGGCGCTTCATTCCGGGCCCCCCATTCGTGTACATGTAGGCCCGACGGCCCAAACCAAAGGCATAGCGCTCCACCCGCTTGTCGATGTTGTCGCCTCCGTTGTCGGCCATCTCGTCGGCGGCCAGCAGGACGTCGGCATCGGAGTCGCCGGCCACCGGACTGCGCTGATCCTGGCCAATTACCGGGGAGCTGGCGATGTAGCCGACACAGCAAACGGCCAGGAGGAGGAGGTGGGCGTGAAGGGAGTTCATTGTGGTGGGTGTGGAGATGCTGGGGATGTGGGGCACGTCTGGCTGACGCTGCTGCAAAAAAAGTGGGCGAAGACAAAGTGAGCAGGCGACGAATAGAATTTTAAGCGCTCGCTCCTCAATTCTCTATGTGTCAAAGCGTTGCATACTTTGCGGCAAACGTGGATACGCGAGCATTAGGGTGGCTCAGTTTAGTGATAAAGGAAATGTATGGAAAAAATATAAATAAATATAAAATATAAAAAAAAATAAATAAAAATATCTATTAATTGTTAACTTAAATGCCATTATCATACAATTCCTTAGAAAAAAAAATTATAGACATTTTTATATTATCTTTAATATTATAACCTATAAAAATTAAAAAATATATATTAGGTATTTAATTTTTATTAAATATATTGAAAGCTATGTATATAAAGATGATAACTGGAATTCTTGGTCTCTCCACAAATCAGACCACCCTAATGTGAACCCCTATGGCTGTGCCTTCGTTTACGAATATTTATGCAAAATAAAGAAACAAACAATCGACGAGGAATTCGGCCCAAACACAAAATATGTCAACGGCAAACAAATGCCGACAATGCGTTGACATCCCGGCAATACCAAAAGCCAAAGCCCAAAACACCAAAATGGCAGTGGCAAACAAACAGTCAACAGAGTCGAAAATAACGAACGAATAAAAATGGGCCGGCAGAACGTTGAAAAATGTGGCCAAAAGTTTGATGCCACCGCCGGCAGTCATGCGGAAGGTCCTTGGTCTCTGGTCTCTGGTCTTTAGTCTTTGGCCAACTGGAATTGCAGCAGACGCGACGGGTTTTCTGCTGGCCTTGCAGGTCGTAAACGTTGAGTTTGATCCGCGTTAAATGAGTGTCTTAATTCCCGCCGCAGATGCCGCAGTGGCCACAATTAGCCGCGAACAATTACCCAAAAATTTAAGCCAGACCGCACAATGAAATGTCCTTCTCCTCCTCCCTGCAGGATTCCATTAGCCGAATGGCAGTGGCAGTCAGTGGCAGCCATCAACGCTTTTGTGGAGATGTCAGTGCCATCAATTGAAAGTGCCCGTCGGAGGAGCAACAACTGACAGTGTCGTGGTTGCATTTCCGCCGGAAAACTTGGCAGCCGGGGCACGTACCTCCTAGGAATACCCCCGCCCTTCGTTTGCCCGAAGCTACTTGTTGTTTGGCTAGGCAAATTAACTTTCTAACAATTTTCCATTAGAATAAAGGGCTTAAAGGCCTCTTGGGCTCGCTGCCTTCCATAATTATGTGCAAACACTCCGTTGAAATCAATTAATCGAAGCCCACGCGTTGGTCCCCCAAATGTTGCGCATACGCACCGTGGTCGGTCATAAATTCGCTGGGTGCATGTGCAACAGGGCCACAAATCATGCAACAGGTTCACCAGAGACCGCAAAAGGCCATCCCCCAACCCCTAGACCTCCGTGTTTGATTTACAATGGCAGCTCCATGGATGGCAGCTGTGCATTTTCCACGCAGGACAATAAAAGCAATGGCTATGACTGCCGCCGCTCGGCGAAAGGCGATGGCTATGGCCACGAGATAATAGGCGGAAAATCGTCACATTTGTTAGACTTTATCAACCGCAACGCGACAACAAAACGAGGAGCAGCCATTGCCACGGAGAGGCAATCGTAAATCTGATGGGGGCAAAACAAGTTTTGTGAAAAGTGTCAACACCTTTCACTATTATTTCCATTCGTGCAATAAAATCTTGTTTGTCCTCCGCAACGCAGCGCCCTTGGCCGCAAATGAGATTCAGGCATTATCTGTTTATGAATTTACGCCACTTTTGGCCATAACTCTTTCGGTCCGCTGGCCTTTTCTCATATCCGCAGCGGCGATTAGTTTTGACCGCCGAGCGGACTGCAACGGAAATTCAAAGGAGCAGACCGCGAAGAAGGCCGTCTTCTATCCGCTATCCTGGCCTAATTAAGTTGGAAAGTTGCAAAAGTTCACCAGCTGCCGAAGCAACACAGCGCAGGCCAAAGGATATAAGCAAATTTTCAGCTTTACCGAGAAGCCAAAGCCAAAGCCAAAGCAATTTCAGCTGATGCGGCAAATTACGACGGACAGATCCCTCAGGTGGTGGAGCTAATGCCACGGCCAAAGCTTCTGTTGAACCTCGAAATGAGCGAAGAATTAGCCGTGTGCAATTGAAACGCTTTTTTAAATTGAAAGCCCTGCCAGGGGGCAGGCTCCCGTGTTTTCACCTTTACCCTCTAAGCCCGCCTAATTAAGTTACGTTCAGGTAATGAAGTGGCTAACTTCTTTGCGCCAATTTATGGCGGTTAGGCAATAAAAAGCCAGCACCTCATGGCCTCCCAACCCTCGATATCCCAATCCACCGCTTCTTTTGTTTCGAGATGCGGCCGACCCTTGTTCTTTTTAGGTCTTTTCACTTTTCACCCCCACTTCCTTGTTTTTCTTTAATTTGACATGTGTATCAATTCTGCAAGTAAACATAAACTGACCCTGGAGCGGCGAATCATCATCATCCCCAATGGGGGAAATTTCCTATCCCAACATCAATCAACAATTGTCCTCCGATTTGTTTATCTAATATTCTCGTCCTTGGCTTTTAGGTTTTCTTCTGCCCTGCATTTCTTTTTTTTTTGCTCTCGGGCGCTCTGTTATTTATTTAATTACAATTTGATTGAGGCTTGTCTTTTGTCTTCTAGCCAGGTCCCTGCGATTTCAAACGATTTGGCTGAGAGTTGTTGATGTTGACTCTGTTGCCATATGTCAATTGTCGCCAGAGGCATTTTATATAATCAAATTTGGTTTTGTCTTCTCGCCTAAGCGATTGAAAATGAATTGAATTCGAGCGTTTTCCTTAGATCAAAAACCCAAACGAATTGCATTGAGTTTTTTGCATACTTTTTGGGGCAAATGTGCTGATTGAGTTTAGTGTCTATTTTAGAATGTAAAAATATTCTTTCCCGGATTGTTAGGGGAATTATTATTTGTTGAGATAGAAATATTATTTATCGAAAGCAAAAAGCGGAATCCCTTTCAAACAAATGTAAGGGTACCAAAAAAAAGAAGTATCTATGTTTTTTTCTCAAAATGTATGCATAAGGTAAGTAGTGGAACTTTTTTTTTTAACATTAACATTTTAAAATGTATATTTGAAAGGTTTTTTTAGGCAAACAAAAAGGTTTTTTCTTGACAACCATCGTGTCCATCTCTAAGTTCAACTGTAACTCCCAGAAAGCAATTTGAGCGCTTTCTAACCGTGTTATAATACTTTTTATTTAAATAAAAAAATTTTTTTCTTTGTGAAAGATTTCCGAGTCCAATCTTACTTTTTTTTTCCTATATATACAACGGTGCTTGACTAACTCAAGAACTTTTCTTATTACTTGACGTAGTTCCGAAAATGTTCAGACTTTGCAAATTTTTTTGAGACTGTTATGAGAAGTCACTGAATATTCTCCGGAAAAGCGCTTACTTATGTTCTTACTCAGAAATCGCTCTAAAACAAAGCTCTTATCAGACACTTAAAACTCTTGGTAAAAATGTTCAAATGTTCCCCTTAAATTTTGGAAATGAAGTTCCAAAACCTATGCAAACATAAATATTTGAAATATTTGATTTTATTCACAACTTACAGCGAAATCCAAATGCCGCTGGGAAAACTCACGGACCGGAATGCACAAAAACCGCGATGCTACTTCTGCAGGATCGATTCAGGGAATGGCACTCTGAAACACAGGATACAGGACACGCGGTGCACAAGGGTACTTGGCTGTCTGGGATTTCGCGGAATTGTTCGGCTGCTGCTCCTGTTGCACGTTGACAGATCAAATGTCGGTTAAGTTTTGAATCCGCATCCGCTGGCGCTCGGCCTCTTATATGAGCGCTTTGCGCGCCCTTATCAACGAACCACCCACACGACAGCCGCCAGGAGTGACGACAATGTGTGGTGAGTTTGGCGCCGATTCCCAACACGACCGAGGGGTGGCTTTTGGGTCGCATGGCGGGGTGTGCTCCACGCCAAGGATGTAACAAGTGGCCGTGGCCAAGCGGCTTTTCCGGAAAAGCCAAGAAGCCAGTCCTCGAGGATAGTGAAACAAAAGACGAGCGACGACCATGTTTCCCAGAAGGTGAGGAAATCTGCAACTCGGCTTATGATAAATAATGCGATGCTGAGGTTCATTAGGAGGTCGCACATACACCCACGGCAAGCCATCCAACTATTTCTCATTTCACTGGAAAATTGCCAGCTGACTGGGTGCGCATTACTCAAGTGCAGGACATTTGTTTTGCCCAGCGCCTTCGGCCCTTCTTTGTGGGGAAACCTCAGAGCACAGCTGACAACTCGAATGACATGCAACCCCGGCTTTATTCCGATACCACAACCCCTTCCTGTAACATTTCAAAAGCGAAACGTCAAGGAATTTTATGCGGAATGCCAGCAACTATTTCACGAGCCGCAAGGCATAACATTTAACATTTTTCAAGACCCCGTTTTCTTTGCGGACAACGTAAATGTCTGATTTAGACCGATTCTATGTACTTTGAGATTTATTCAAGGAATCAGGAAAGGTTAAAGAAAAAGCGGGAAAATGTTTAATATCTAAAATATCATATATTTTTTCAAACTTACAAATACTTCGTATTCCCCGTACTCTTACCGATTCCTAGTATTTTGGCCTTGTTTCCAATCAATCTGCTAACGTTATCCCAATACGTTTCAGAGCATTCCGGGCCATTAGCCACACGGAGGGATAAAGGAACTGGGAAATAACCATTACCCAAGGAATTCCCGCTGAGACGATGCTTAGTTGTAAATAGTTTAATTACGAATAAAAGCAAAAATCGCTGGCTAATTGGAAAATATTGAGAAAATAAGCACATTGATTGGCCAACTGCCAACTGCCAACCCCCCCGGAAAATGGCTAAAAGTGTCTGGGGTGCACGTGTCGTATACGCAATGCTAAGAGCGCAGCAGGCAATCGGGGGGACTCACCGAAATTGCATTGAGATTTGTGGCGCAATTACAATTTGTCCTAGAAATTTATACGTTTTTATGGCTTTTCTGGGCAAAAATGGCGGCTAATTGTGACCATGACGTCAGTCGTCATTAGACGGGCATTAGGTTCCCGGAATGCCATTGCCAATGCGTGCAGCTGCAATTGGGCATAGATTTGGCGATTCCAATTCGGCTATATAGCTGAGCGCGTGCTTTTCATACTCACCACGGGCCATCGATCATAAATCAGGCTGATAAGAAAGCCTAATGACATGGCTCGTAACATCAAAACATGGCCAAAGCGTGTCGCGGCCGGTCCAATCTCGATGGCCTGACACTGCCGCGTCATCGCACCGGAACAGGTTAATAAATTTCCCAGCGGTCTAATCACAGGCCAAGCAGCTCATTTGGGTATTTGGCATCTGGACGGCACATATGGTCACAAGGAGGATATGGATATGGATATGGATAGGCGACTCGATTCGATTTCTGTCCGCTTTTCCAGAAGACAAGTTCAGCTATAAATCATCATCGCGGGCAGGCGGTAGGCAAAATAAGGCAAAGCAAAGACACAAAATTAAACCTGCAGTTGGCCGGGCCGAAAAATAAATGAAATAAAACCAAAAGCAAGGCACCCAACCAGTTTAGCCCACACCTACTCCACACACAGAGAGATACTAACTTCCCACCGAAAAAATGCATAAGCGAAAACATAAAAATAACCAAAGAAAACATTTTTGTAGTTGTTAGACCGACGAAAAAAATATAACCAAAACAACAATAAAAAAATGGAAAATCACGATTCTTATGCAGGTTTTCGGAGATTTTTCCCACAACAAGTTTTCGTTTGGGGTTTTTTCATCTCTTTTAATTGATTCTGCGCATGAGAAAAACGCAGTGCAATGTGCACTTGAGATCCAGATGAACTTATGTGGCGTCAGATATCAGCGACTTGGCAACTTGGCCAACAACAATGGCATCGGCAAGTAGAAACCACAAGCAGGCAGCTTAAATATGCATTTATAATTAGGAGTCGGCCAGAGGGCGAATGCTGCAGCGGAGTCGAAAGCCGAGGAGATTTACGGCCCAGACAAGCGAGACACGTCTTTGGGCCAGATGCGTAGTCGAGAATCAAATCTCTGGAGGGAAGTGGGTGGCACTGGCATGCAAATGGCCAAGATCGGATCTGGATGGTACAGAAGTTTGCACACAAATTGTTTTTTACTATAACACAACACAAAGATAATAAATCACTATTAACAAAATGTTTCTTTCAGAATATTGAGCAGGTAAAGAATAGTGATAAATGATTCTTAAATAATATATTCCTTAAAATATAATATATTCCTTAACTGATTAAAAACTAGTTGCCTTTATTTATTAGACTAATCTTATTTGAATAATGCATAATTTGGGTTTAAATATTCACTATATATTTTAAAACATTTTATAACTATTTAAAGTTATTCTTATTTTGGAAAGGGTGGTGGGATTCATAATCAGAAGAAACACAACCGAATAGGTTGTTTCTGCTATCAGCTATTTTTAGATACTTCTGGTTAGCACTATTAATTTAGCCACAACTGTTGGCACTTGCCTGCTACACAGGAACATACATATGTTCGTATGTAAGTTACAGCAATACGTATACGTAGATATATGTAAGTACGCCGGGAAGAGTCGTAAAGTCGGCAAAGAATGTTGCTCGCTCTTCCGGCGCAGCTTCTACTCTCTCTCTGTCTCTCTTTCTCGATGACACACTTTCCGACACATTGAAGTAGGTGAGCAAACGATCACCTGCGATTGTGTGAGAGTGTGTCTGCTGGTGTTTGTTTGTTTGCTGGCACTCCAAGCACAAACATACGTTCTCCATTCTACGCTTCGCTGCATTGAAATTTCTTTTTTCGCTTTCTTTTCGGCCAGAGCACTTGCGCTCTTTCTCTTTCCCCCGATCGTTTGTTCTGTACTCTTTCTCCTGCAATCTCTCTCGCGCTGCTGACGTCAGCAGCGACTGCGGTGTTATATGTTATATGGGTCACCGTGACTTTTGGGTTCTTGGAGAAAACTGGTAGTACGAGTCTTCTGCTTCTTCTCCTTCTTCTGCTTCTGCTTCTGGCTGAGGAAAGTGACGATCGATCGAAAGCGAATGCGTTTGTTTGTCTCTTTTGCTTTTTCTTCGCTCTCTCCAGTTGGAAATTCTGTTGGTTCTTTTGGGGTCAGGTTCAGGCTGTTAGAAAGGCATTTCCTCTTTGACTTTAGTGCTCTTAAGCACTCACACTTAATTATGTAAAAGCGGTACCAACAATCAGAAAAAAAGAAGCTAAACAAACAAACAAACTACAATATAAAGTCTGCTGCGAAAGGTGAATGAAACTTAATGAATGCCAGCAACAACAATAAACAGGTGAGTCGCTGCATTGCTTAGTGATTTTCACTTGCTGCCGCTGCTGATTTTGTTGTTTCTTTTTTAGTCGCTCTTTGTTGTTGTTGTTGTTGCGAGCGTGCCTGTGGAATTCGCAAATTGTTATGAGTAAAACTACAACAAAAACAAAGCCCCGCAGAAAGAGAAATAAGACAAAAATAAAGAAATACACACAAAGACGACGTAAAGATTACACAAGCGCAGCGTCGTCAATTCGAGAGGGGGAGGGTGGGTGGTGAAGGGGAGGGGTGGGCATTAGAAACAACACAACAACACTCTTCGCTGCAATCAAGAAAGCTCTCACAACAGCAGCAACTGCGACTGCGGCGGAGGCAGTGACTGCGCAGAGAGCCACGATCAGCTGCAGAGGATGCAGTGAGCAAAATGTTGGTGGTGGGATCTTCTGTTTAATAACTAGTTTGGGAAAAAACTTGCTACAGTAATATGATGCAATAGAAAGGGCCTGGACAGTCCCAAAATTATCCATTTGAAGTTGAGATACAGCTTATTTAAAGATTTAAGATTTTGATTTAGATTTACAGATTTCAAGCATTCAATTTCATAGGATCGAATTTATAGAAAGCAACCAACCTAAAAGTATACTTTAAAAACGAGTATAAAGTGTGAACATCGGTCATCCGCCCTGTTGGCCATTGACTTTTCAACTTTATTCCGTTGCTCTCAACCGATTGCTTGAAATATAGAGGTTTGCTATTTGACCTCCCCTTTTTTTTGTCTGTGTAGAGAAATTTATCATTTCACTGCAGCAAAGCCTCTGCAACAGCGACGCCGGCAGCAAGCTCTCTCTCAACAGCTGCTGATCGCAGTGCTCTCAGTGTTTTGGCAGCTCTCTCTCTGCTCATCGCTGCCGCCGTCGACGGCGCTGCCGCTGCCTCTGCCGTCCGAGGCCTGGCCACAAAAACAACACCACAGCTTTTCGAAATTAGTTCTAGTGAGTCTGTGAAAGTGTGAGCGACTGCGAGGCGCGATCAATTGGCAAACAACCGCAAGCGGATCAACTGCTCCACACGCCACGCCGAATACCGAGTACCATCGAATATCGCCGAATTTAAAAAGCGGACTACACACGAGTATACACGCTACCCACAAGCGACAGCAACCAGAGCAACAACACAAACACATCACGTGCAACATGTCGCATCAGTGCAGCTGCGGTCGCGACCTCAACAACAACTACGTCTCCTACACGAACGCCTACGCCAATGCGAATGCCTCCTTGGACCGCGAGGCGGCCACCAGCGGCAAGTCCGGCGGTCCGCCGCGCGCCCAGCTGACGGCCAAGGTGATGTTCGGGACGGTGGGCGCCATCAAGGAGCTGCGCGACAAGGAGCAGCAGCAGCAGCAGCGGCAGGCGACACGAGCGGGCGAGAGGCGCAACTGAGTGAGGGGCGGGGCGGTCCAAGGGGCGGGGCGGGACGAACGGCCGCTGGAGCGGTCGAGTGCTGTGCTGTGGGTTGTCGGCGGGGGATCTCTGGCTGATCGGAAGGAGGATGACACGGAGATTTGGATTGAGCATAAAGAATTCGCGGAACACCAAACTGATCCGAATTGATCACAAAGATTTCGAGCAACTGAGAAGAATTCGCGCGACTCCAAGGATCCAGGTGATTTGGTTTGATCATAAAGAATTCTCGAAACCCCAAGGTTCTCTGAGTAATCCAAAATAGTTCGAATCGTTTGGGTACTGATAACTCAAATGGGTGGTCCCCGGATCACGTTAGAGGCTTCAAGTGTTGGCAGGGGACAGGGCAATCTGTGTAACGACATTCCTTCTCAACAAAAACTATCCAAAAAACAAAAAAAACACTGAGTACATCACATATTTATACACTTTTTTTTGTCTGCCACACACTATCTCTAACTCTCTCTCTATCTCTATCTCCTGTAAGCTTCAGCAGAACTCTATAATTCAATGTAAATTGTTTATTACATATATTTATACATATACTACATAGTGCAATACTTTAGCTGTACGCAAACACACACACGCCTAGCTATAAGTTTGTTTTATTTTGTAAGTGCACACGCATACACTCACTCATTTTACAATGTTGTTTAATTTTGTTTTGTTGTTCACGCGCTCCGCGATTTTTGGGCTGCCAGTCTGGAGACTTCCAGGTGCTGCTGCAGCTCGAAACGCAAGGCACGTAGCCCATACACACTATACACACCCCACACCATATACACCATATAAATATAACTACACATATGCGTAATCTTTAATACCTATACTACTGTTATTACTCTTAATAATCATATTGTATGTGCCGCAAGAAGAGAGGAAACCGAAACCGAATCGAGAAACAAAACTTAAAATTATTCCTCCAAATGGGATGGTGTTTGCTCAAGTGATTTGTACTAAAATGGAAGCGAAATAAATGGAAACTCAATTAAAGTGCTGCAAATGGCAAATGTTTCGAGAGAGAATTTAGTTTAGAGAGCGCGGAGCATCTACAATATATTTATTATACCTATAAAAAATAATATTAAAATGTATGTCTACTTGTACATCTATTTATAGAGCTAATCCCAACAAAGGCGAATAAAAATCGAACTTTTAATAAACTGAAAACGAAAACTTCGGGGTCTCTGCAGATTGGCGATTTCAATTACTCCAACAATGGACTATAGATTGTGTGGAGTGTGGAGTGCAAAGTGGGTGGGGGCAAACCTTTTTCTTCGCCGGTCGTCTGCGTGTGAAAGTAAGAAATAAGAAGCAGAAAAAAACAACATTCAAATAAATTATAAATTACAATAAAGCAAAGGGGAAACGAAAAGTAAAATATGCGAAACGAAAGCGAAGTCTCCGGCCAGAAGGCAAAGCCAAAGGCAACGGCAACCTCGTGTATTATATTATTATTCCAGCGATTCTTTTCGTATTCTGCCATCGTCTCGCACTCTTTATCGCCCTCTCTCTTCTAATTATGAAGCACTCCGGGTCTGCGTGTCGGTGTGTGCGTGAGCGGAGAACACTCGCTGGTTCTTACGCTCGTAACAGTGACCCAGTCTCGGGCTCATAGCTTGGAAAAAAGAGTCGCTGTCGTCATCGGCGGACCCAAACGTTCCATTTCGATTCCACTTGACGCCCCCGCCGCCCACGCCGCCCCTCTCCCCTTTGCCACGCCCTCGGGGGACGTCGTCGCTTAGTGGATCAAAGTCAGAGCTGCTTTGGGTTTTTTCAGCGCTTTTTAGAGAGTCTAGACATTTCCGACCCTGTAAAGTAAATAATTTTACTATTATATTGATAATATTTCCGAGACTTCCCAACTATATTGCCAACCAAACAATTTTGATTTATAGGAAAGTTTGTTCATAGTTTATACTTTATATCCCTTGAAAATCGAAACATGTCAAGAGTATACAGTCTGCGGCTTTAAGTGCTCTATCGTTTTCATTCTTATCCGCCTTTTGGAGGGCGCTCACAGTTCAATTGAATCCAATTGACCAAGTGCGTGGCTCTTGTCAAGCAAATGTATTTGCTTACGTATACTTAATTTACGAGGCGTATACGTAATGCAACGCCCACCAATGCACCGGTTGTGAGTAGTGGAAGTTTAGCCAGCCGGGGATTGGGAACGGAATGGAAATGCTAATTGAACCCATTTAGAGAGCTCTCCTCTTCTGGCCGACTGCATTATATTTGATTGCTCTTTAGCCGCTTACCTTTGACTTTGTCTCTTGGCAATTGCTGCAGCTGCGACGCAGTTGGCGATGTGGTGATGGTGATGATCCAACTCTACCGCTTACCCGGCTTCTCGACCGATTTCATCACCGATTCCGATCTGATAACATTACGTGTAAGTGCAGCTAAAAGCATTCTACAGAGGCGACGAGAATCCGGGCATTAGTCCAAAGTATGAGGGAATTTCACACTCATGAGTAAGCGCTTTGGAATTTATACTTCTTAGTTGAGAGAAATAAATAACTTTTTTGCTAATTTTTCTATAATTATTATAGTCTTCCCTTGCTAATTCTTATTATTTAAATTAACGGCTGCTTTCCGGGAAGTATAAGAACTAAAGATGCGTATTTATCGGACTCTTTGAATGCCCACGCAGATACATTTTCTTTATAATTTCAGATACGCCCACAATCAACCCGAAAATAACAAAACAACAGCGAAGCCCAATTGTTATAATCATTGGAAAATATTTTGGGATTACAAGATACTGAAAATTGACTTTTCTATGGACCTAAAAGTAGGCAATGTATTTCTAAATGTGATTTGGGGTATTTTGTTATCTTAAGTTATTGGTTATTTCTATCCTAAAAATTGGTTACCAAACCAACATCTCTTACACTTCAATCAAATTCCTTAGTGTACTGAGATCTATATATGTATCCCTCGAGACACTCGACTATCGATGTCAAAACTCTTTGCCAACGGCACTATTTCTATTTCCATTTCTATTTTAAGACATTTTGCATTGCTGATGTCATTTGTTTTCTATGCATATTCTGCTTTTTGTTCAGTTCAGTTCAGTTCCGTTCAGTCCAGCTAGGTATAGTTTTGCCCGATTTCCATCTCAGGGCCGGGAGGCGATTGTTATTGTTGTCACTTGCCGGGGTGATACATCAACTGCTTAATTTGCGAGGTGCAATTTTTAATGGCTGGCCCCCGATCCCAAACGTGGCTAAGAGTAAAAGCATCTCTCGCCCGCCGGTAACAACATTTCTTTGTTGATTATTTTTATTTTTCGAGTGTGCTTTTTTCACTTTTTCTTGCATGCGCCTGTGCTTGTGGCAAGAACTTTCTCTTCTAATTGAAAGCAGTTCGATGGCGGCGGGCGATAAGCCAGCGGAGCGGTCCGTGGAAGGGGAAGCGGTCTGTCGGTCTGTTGGTCTGCTGACCAGCTAAGCAAAGCATCCAGCTGGGCATCTTTTGATGAACCGGCTGCGGCGATGGATTGACGTGGATGTGGAGCTGGTTGGATTCCGCTGCCGCTGCCGATGCCTCAATCTGAATGGTCTTTCTTGGTGGAGTGGCCAGTGGACAGTGGAGCGGATGAATGGCGATCGGCGCATAGTGAGACATTTCTTATGTTTCTGCTTTAATGGGAACTTTATGCAGCCGCAAGGCATTTTATCTCTTTCGTTTCGATTTGAATACGGAAAGAGGCGACGACGGCGGAGACGGAGGCGATAAGCGCCGGCCAGTTGAAAATAAATAATAAATATTTAAAAGTAGAAGCTCACGGGATGATGGGGCGGGGTGTTCGAGCTGATGCTGGAAATAAAAGACTGCTACTACGCGGACAGTGAATGAAAGCCAGCGGAGAACTGGTCGCTTGCCTGGAAGACTTGGGTGCTTTTTCATTTTTTTTTTATCTCCGAGTCGGTTTTTTACTCTTTTTACATACGTTTTTTTTTTTTTTTTGGTGAAGCTGTGGCATGTCTCGGGCTTTGCGGCTCGGCGTCTGTGTTTCTTTGGCTTCTAATGGCAGCCGTGAGGTGAGAATCGATTTAGTTCGGTTTACGACGATCCCAGATACAAACGCGAAAAAGTTTCTTTTCGGTGTGTGTTGTGCGGCGGATCCGAAAATATAAAAAAAACATTGCCAGGAGTCGCCCCCAGGAATATAGGAGCGGCCACACACCCAGAAAACCAAAAAACCAAATAAGCAAGAGAAAAACCCAGAACTGATTAAACGAACTGCTCGTGAAAGTCCCCGGCTAATTGAGGCAGGTGTTAATCACGGCAATTACGAACTACAAATTGCGCACCGCACTTGGGGTAAATCAATTTCCGTTTTTGCGCAAAAGATCATCCAACAAATTGATTATTATTAATGGCCGGAGCGCCACAGTTGACTAAGTGAGCGTGTCTTGAAGTTACTCGTATAGCCGAAAGCAGCCAAAGCCGGTGGTCTGTAAAATTTCTCTACGCTAGGCCCGCGATTTCCTGGCGGCTAACATTATATGTAGGTGGCTTTGGAGGTGTGGACCCTTGAACGAGGAAGAGAGAATAGGCCTTACGCAAGCCAAAAGACTTAGGCCTAGTTGCATAATTTTTGCAAAATTAAATGCTGTGCCTGTGGGCCAGTGGATGTGGGTATTTTTCTTTGGGAAAAATATCATGGGTTAAGATCACATTCTGTGCATTTCAATTTTTGAGTATTTTTGAGAACCACTGCAATATTTTCAAAAATACCTCATTCTGTTGCCCATCTGGTCAGCCCATTAACATTAGTGGACGTGCTAAGGCATTGTAAAAATTGTGGGTAGCAGTTACCCGCTATAAAAAATTTATTACATAGACCACTGGCAATCTTGACGCCTGTTATGCGGTCATTGAAGCATATAAAGTACTCCGCATTGCAACCAAATAAGTAAAGTAAAGTAAAACCAACTAAATAGGCGAAGAAAGAGGGAATCAAAGCATGAACAAATAAAGTGATTAACTTTTAATACGCTGTAGTCAAAAATTAACTAAGTTTAACTACACATTTTTATTGATTTTGCTTAGTTCTAATCAACAACTAGTGACCTAATAATTTGCAAAATAAATCCTCTTGATTTTAGTTTGAGTCGTAAAATAAAAATCTTTATTCAAATGTAAACACTTGATTAAATCAATCAACTCTAGGCTAAAAAGGGTATTAAAAAAACAACAAGTGCTAAAATCACTCGGCCAAAACAAAAATAAATAAATAAAGCTGCAGAAAAAGTACAGAGTAAAAACAACAAAAAAGCACAGGAAAAGAGAATAATATGGTTAGGCGATAATAAGTTGCAGTTGAAGTTAATTTTTTATGATTGTAATTAGCCGTGGGCAGCTTAAAAAAGGCTAAATTAAATAATAGCAAGCTTTTCGCTGTCGCTGTTTTTGCCGTTTTGGTTGTTATGCGTTCGTAGTTGATGTTGCTGATGTAATCGCATCGCTTAAATCGCGAAAGAAGCAACAGCAGCAATTATGCATCGATATTGGCGACCCAAAGCGACGTAACGTTATTGATAATTATGTTTAATTCGCCCCTTATCGGGTCCAAACGCTTTTTTTTTGCCTTGCAATTTTTACACCCCAGGGGCAGATTAAGCGATTTGTGTTTTTATGAGGACCCAAACAATAGGCAACCCATTAACTTATTCACTAAGAAGAAACTGTTTATTCTTCTGTCACTTATGGTTTCAAATTATAATGGATATTTGAAATAAATACATCATAGGTGTTTATATTAAAAGTTAGATTTAAATCGGAGTATTTCTAGGAACATAGGAAATAAATAGGATGGAAATAAAAATATTATTTAATTTAAGAAGGCTAAGCCTTCGAAACTCTATGATAATATTCGAGTTTTCAACCTTAAGGAATCCAATGATTTACTGCGCCTTCCCATGGATTCCTTGGGAAACCGCAAACCTCTGCTCGCACTGAACTTGACAGCGAATAAACCATTCCAGAAGTCGCCGCTGGAATGTTGCAGCCATCACTTCTGGTGGCGTTGCTGCTCCTGCTGGTGCACTTGGAAAATGCCAGCGGCAAACCGCCCACCCAGGAGCTGCCACGTCCGCTGATCCCGCTGGCCCGCGGACAGGACGGACAGGAGGAGGAGGAGCAGCTGCACCCTGAACTGGAGGCCAAGGCGGCATTCCAAAGGACGCGGAATGGACGCTCGCGGCGTCCCACCCTGATGGATGTGGCCTTGCAGCAGAGTGTGCGGCAGGGACTCGATGCCATGGCCGAGCTGTACGGCCGCATTCAGCCGGAGATGCTGCGCAATGGTGGGTACTGGTGCCACATACTGCTACTCGTTCCTAACCCTGAATCAAATCCTCGAAATCCTCGGAATACCCCGCTAAAGGCCAAACCCTGCAGGACAACCATCCGGCAGCGATGCTTTCCCGCTTCAATGCCCCCACCGCGGACTCGGAGCGCCGGGAGATGGCCGCCTATGCCACCATCGCAGCAGCCAAGGCCTTTCGCAAAAAGTAAGTTCCAGGGGTTTATTTGTGGAGGTGGAAGTGGATATGCTGATATGTTGATATGTATATGCGGACTGTGGCGGGCCATAAGTTCATCAGCCGCAAATATGTGGCTATGACATATGAAAAAAGTTATTGGCAAAAGCGATGAGCATGATTAAAAATCAAAGTGGGTTCGTGGGTGGGCTGAAAAGTAATCTTTATTAAGATAGACCCATGTAATACCCTAAAATAAATAAATAATCATAAATTCAGTTATTTTGTAAGTCATAAAATAAGTTAGGCCTGAAAACTACTATCCCTTTTCTATTGGGTAAATTAGGATTCATATCTATTTCTTTGAATGACACTCTCCGTAAACAAATATTGATTGATGTGGTGAGTTTCTGAGATTCGTGGAAAAATGATTTACCAACTTTGCTTACAAAGAAAGCACCCCTCGGCCCCTGAGCACCCACGATGAGTGGGCATGGCCACTCTCGAGTTTCTGACCCCAGGCAATCTAATGCAAAAATAGCAACAACTATGCACAAAAAAACCAAACAAGTAACGGAAAAGACAAAGGCAAAAAAGTAAGCAATATTATTGAGTTGAGGATACCTACCCCACCCTCTGAGTGCCCCCCTTGCACTCCACAATTACCGCCGGCAACTTTCTCGCTTGATTAACGAGTTCTACGGCATCCATGGCAGCAGCTTCGGCGGCAGCAGAGCTAATGAGTTGGAGCTGGGAATCCGAATGGCCTGGAAGTTGGCTCAAGTGGAAGTGACTCCCCCGGAGAGCGCCCCCTTGCAAATATCGAATCGTAGCCAAAAACGATGGGAGTCCAACTGCGATTGCTCATGACTAAGAGTCAACTTTCACTTTGACATTGAAATGCCGCATAATTGGCAGACAAGACCAAGACACCAACGCCGATTTCAATTCGAATCCCAAATCCAAACTCAATACCATATCCGACCATATTAAGAGCACGGAAAGAAAATTTCTTTATGGATTCCAAATTCACGAGTTTTTAAATCAATTACAAAGGTGCCTAAAAGAATACTACAATATTTTAAAGCATACTTCTAGGCGCATTTTAAAAAGATTTAAAAGGAATATTCGGCCAATAAAGAGGTGGTTTTTTTCGAGTGTGTGGATTGGTTATAGCAAATAAAAGAGGCCCGGGTTAAACGACCTCTTTTGCCGGGCAACGGAAATGGCAGACGCCACCAGCTTCAACTCCAACTACATTTCCATCTCCGTTTTCATCGCCGATTGTTTGCAGTTTTTCCAGTTTTACCGCTGCCAGAGTTTTCACTTTTCACAAACTGTGAAAATCCATGCGATTTTCCACACACACAGAAAAACGCGTCGGGGCTGAGAACTTTCACCCGGGGCAGCCGGCAGCCGAAAAGGCAATTTACCCAACTCAGGTGAATTCGACTCAGGTGCAATGAGCTCTGACCGCGTCGAATGCAAAGCTGCCCGAAATCGCATTTATGTAATTGCAATCAATGGGGCGACACAAGACAACATCGTCCCCAAACTGACCGAACAGACAATTGCCAGACAAAAGATGCTGATGATGATGGCCATTAATGGAAAATGCTCTTTCGGTTCACTCGATGTCCACAATCAAATTACGAAATGGCCAACATGTTTGGTTTAATTAAATATCAACAAATGCCGTCGACTGATGATGATCGTTGCCGATGGGGCTCGTTAATGGTGCCAAAAGCAGCATTTAGCCAAATTAGAAGCCAAAGAAAGCGACAGCGTTAGAAAAATATCACATACTCGTAAGTGTACGCATATAACCGCGCATCTGGGGAGCTTCCACTTCAGCTTCAGATTCGGAATTCGCAATTTGATTACATCAAGACGTCTGACAAACGGCAACAAAAAAAGACAGGGAAAGGCAAAGCTTCAGCTGCTGCGACGCCGACAGCGACGGCGACGTCGACTGAGGCAGCGGCGGTACAACTGATACGCTCGCAAAGAAATAAAAAAACCGAAAACTGAAACACAAACATGAGGCGACTTTCGTTTTCTACCAGCCAATTCGGCCCCAAGCTCCCCGAGTCATACGAAAGTTTGGTATTGTGCTTTTTTTCTCTGCTGTTTTTCAAGAGGGCATTGAACTCACGACGCTGCTGAAAGACAAAAAGCAAACCTACGTTGCGGCTGCGCTTTGCGTCGAGATTGCGTATACGCCGCGTGAACTCAAGGCAAAGGGCGGTTGCACCTTTAATGGGCTTTTCTTTCGAATAAAACAATGCTTAATACGAAAATTGTGCAGAGCATTGACAACCCAACAAAGCCTGGGAAAATATGTTTTTCCACTTTCACCTGCTGAAAAGCTGACGACAAGCTGGAAAACTGGAAAAACGTGCCGAAACGATTATACACTTGCGCATCCCCTTGGCGACCATCGAAAATGGCATTCAATCATGGCCAGGCATTTACTGCAATATTCGTGTGTAGAAAAGTGAAAACTCCTAGAAGATTGATCGCAAGATCGCAGGAAATTATATGCCAGACAGGAAGTCGAGTTGGCCAACTCATGTGATCTGGCCAAGAGAAAGTAGAAACGTCGATGCCGTCTTCTCAACTAAGATCGATTGGTATTGGTGGGAAGAGAAAAAGCAAGCACTAATTAAATGCAATTAAAACGGCAAATTTAGCGTCAGCTCAAATTTACCTGCGCATTGAAAATCAAAATTATAGTTTTTTTGTATCCATTAAAATTCAAAAATGTTTAATGTTTTTTTGCAAGTTTGTATTGTAGTTGAAATTGTCATGCAATCTAATAAAATTTTTAAGGAGACTGAATTTTAGAGAATATAAATCCAGACTGTTTTGCAGACTTTAGAAAATGAGCACAAAATAAATGTTTTGATGTAATAGATTATTATAATTTAGGCCACACAAATGATAATGATATCCCCCATATTTATTTCAAGTAAAGTTTCATTTTCTAAAGTGTAATAATTTAAAAAGTAAAACATTATCTTAAAACTGAATTAGTCATTAGGTTTGAGAAGACCATAAACAATGCATTTCTTGAGAAGCCATAAAGTTAGTAAAGCTTTTCGAGCATAAACCATTCAGTAAACGAAAAGAATCATTAAAAGTGACCCTATATCGGCGACTTCTGCCTACTCATAAACGCACATTACACTCATCAAAAGCGGGCATGTTTCATGACCAAGTCATTATACCCCTTGGGATTTAAACGAAATGAAAATTGACGAAAAAAGAGTTGCTAATAAACGCGGCAAATGAAAAGCAAAAGCGGGTAAATTAAGCCAGCGGCTGCTCAGCGATTTCTTATGCGTTTTCCCGCCTCAATCTCGCACAGCGGCAGTGGGCTTAATTCGGTTTCGATGGTGGATCCCATTTGGAGTCACCACCACCAGCCACCGAGTGGCGAAGCGAACTCGTTTCCAGCGACTTCGCAGTCGAGCGTTTTATAAATAGAAGCCGGCGGCCCGAGCAGTCGGCACTCGATCACGAAATTTGAGCGCAGCCATGTCGTTTGGTCGTCCTCACTCGGTGGCGGGATGATGGTCCTGGGAGGTCCTGGCACCGTCATCCCACTGCCCACCACCACCGCCACTTCAGCCATCCGCCTCGATCTCTTTGCTCTTCGGCAGCTTCCAGCACATCGATGAACTGGCCCGCCAATCGCACACGCAGCGAATCTCCCTGCGACGTACCGCCCTGGAGGGCCTCTGTCCGCCGCGGGATCCGCCGCCCTGCATGCCCGCCTCGGAGCGGTACCGCACCCACGACGGCACGTGCAACAACAAACGGCGGCCCAGGTGGGGAGCCGCCCAGATGCCCTTCAACCGCTTCCTGCCGCCGGAGTATGGCGATGGCGTGGACACTGTCCGGAGCTCGGCAGATGGTAGCACCCTGTCCTCTTCACGGTTCGTCAGCCTCCTGGTTCATGGAGCCCGCGAGGGAGAAGCCCCGCTCACCCTCATGATCGCCCAGTGGGGTCAGATGCTCGACCACGACATGACCTCCACGGCTCAGCCGCGGTAAGTGTTATTGCTATCTATTAATTAATTAAGGGTTTAGAAATTAAGCATTATTTTAAGTATTTGTTTTAGAAAAATTAATAACACCATTATAGCCGATAACAATAATGTAAACTTAAGTTATAACTTACAAATTTCTCCACTTTAAAGTATAAAAATGCTACAATTTTTAAACCTCCCTAAAAATTGCATTTATTTAAAATCACCATCTCAATCGATAATGAACCTTTCAATTGAAATTAAAATTTTATCTTCTAGTTCTATGTATTACCCATAGTTCATAATAACTAAAAATTGCATTTATTTAAAATCACCATCTCAAACGAAAAAGAACCTTTCAGTTGAAATTATAACTTTATCTTCTAGTTCTAGAGCATTCATTTGGTATCTTAAAATATTTTTAAATCTATTTCCCATAGTTTATAATAACTTTTTACCCTATTTACAGCTCCATTAATGGTTCCATACCCAGTTGCTGTGGCGGCAAGGACTTCCACCCCGCCTGCTTTCCCATCAAAGTGCCACTGGACGACCCGTGGTTGGCGCCCCTCAAGGTGCGCTGCCTGGAGTTCCTGCGATCGGCTCCTGCCCAGAGACGCGACTGCGTGCTGTCCTGGCGGGAGCAGACCAACCAGGTGACCTCCTACATCGACGCCTCGCCCATCTACTCGAACAGCGCCAAGTCCTCGGACACGGCCAGGGTCTTCCGGCACGGCCTGCTCGTCTATGGACGCGGGGATCCCGCCGAGGATGTGTGCCAACGCGGGGCCATTGCCACCAAGTGCATTCGATCGGGAGACGGAAGGAGTGGAGAGCAGCCGGGACTGCTGGCCATGCACCACGTTTGGGTGGGCGAACACAACCGGATTGCCCTGGAGTTGAGCGAACTGAATCCCCATTGGAGCGATGAGAAGGTCTACCAGGAGACGCGGCGGATTGTGGGCGCCATGTTCCAGCACATCACCTTCCGGGAGTTCCTGCCCGTCATCCTGGGCAGGGAGGTGGCCAAGCTCTTCGACCTGGAACTGATGCCCTCGGGCTACTACGAGCGGTACAGCTCCAAGGTGAATCCCACGGTGGCCAACGCCTTCGCAGCTGCTGCCTTTCGGTTTGGCCACTCGCTGGTACAGAACTCCTACACGCGATGCGATCGTCACCACAATGTGATTAATAATAGTAAGTTTGGGGAGAGTTTCTGATCACTGATTGCAAATAATAATCTTAATTGTCTTTTTAAGATGTCAGTCTGCATGAGGAGTTCCAGCGTGGTGATATTGGCTCGGCGGGTTCTTTGCATCGCCTTCTGCGTGGACTGGCCTCCCAGCGGGCTCTGAAGCGGGATGAGTTCATCACCCCCGAGCTGACCAATCACCTTTTCCAAACTCCCGGCTTTCCCTTTGGCTTGGATCTGGCTGCCATAAACATTCAGAGGGGCCGGGATCATGGGATTGCTCCTTACAGCGCCTGGCGAGTGCCCTGTGGTCTCAGCCCCATCCTCAGCTGGGATGATTTTGGTAAGTAGCGACCAAGTTTTAATCATTTCTTAAATGAAAATCCTATTCCTAATTGGAATTTTCATAAATATTATTTCCTTCACTGCCATTTTTTTGCTTCGTTTATTTTGTTTAACTATCATAATACAAGGAGTTTATTTCACAAATGAAATGTAACTTTTCATTACACAGAACCAAAGACGTTTGGCCGTTATAAACTGAATTGCACAGTCGGTATCCCTTAAATTTCCTGTAACCAGATATCCAGTACCGAGTATCTTTCTCGAGTCTTTTATAGAACGTGGTCACATTCTTTTTGTTGAAATCTTTCATTAGTTTAGCACCATTTTGAAGACAGGTCGCTGAAGCTAGATTATAATCCATCACCAAGCGTTTCTCAATAAAAAGTAGTTGTCCATTGAACGGCTTCAACTCCAGTTTGTTGTGCGACTCAACCGAAAAATCCTTCGGTGAGGTGGACGTCCAACATTCCAGGGGTTTGGCCAGGACATACGTGTTGCACACAACGAGGACACATATAACTGAACATGCTAAGTTCAACATATTGAAACCGTACAATAGAAACAGAAAAAATACAATGAACTGATTCAAAGTTGTGTGCTCAATTTATATGCAAAGCGAGTATTTTCTTTAAAAAAAATTCTTCAAAAATTACGTAGTTTCCCCTGACCGCTATTTATAAATAAAATTGTAGTCATTTTAAAAACCATCAAAAAGCAATGCTCAATTCTACGAAGTTTTATTAAAATTTGTTAATTTTCTTACGTACATTCCACCCGAATTTTACCCGAAGAGATTTCTGAGTCACCACCATATGTTTCTGATAAAAATGATCAACAATTAACAAGCGACTGATAAGCCAAAAAATTTAAAATTTCTTAAAACTACATTCTTTAGTTGAATCAAATTTTTTAATGAGTAAATACTTTTCTAATCCCAAAAAAATATAAACATCGCAAAAGTTTTAAAAACTTGTGATTTTATATGATTATTAATTTATTTCATTGCTTTTGTACAAATATCCTAATACAACAAAATGTTACATTGTGGTAACAACTGAAATGGGTAGTATTTTTATTTTTTCCATTCACAAATAAAATGATAGTCTTCGTCACATGGAACCGAAGACTTTAGGCCGTTTTCAATTATATTGCATCGTCTTTCCTGTAATTTTCCTCCGCGCCGAATAGATCGCTTGCCAGCTACCCAGTACGTAGTCTTATCGCAGAGATGGTTATTATGGAAGGTCCTCACATCAGCAGCATTTTCAAAACTCATTAGACTACCGTTAAAATTTTGACAGAATGTAGAAGCTAACCGCCAACTCAGATATTTTTGCTCTTCAACATAAAATTGTTTTCCATTGAAGAATCCGAAATGCATGTCGTCATATAATTCTTCCAACTCTTCCGAAGGATCATTGAAAGGGAAAGGTTCCTGGTAGTCCGCTAGCACGTATGTGTTGTAAGCAACGAGTGGACACAAAAATAAAAATGCAAATTTTAGCATAATGAAACTGTATTGTACTACTGAAGCCAAAAGAATTCAATGAACTGAGTTTAGATGTTGCGCCAGTTTTATAGGAAAATCAGACCACGTATCCCCAAACAAATCGTTTTCAGAATTAGTATTCTAAAAATATTTAAAGACATAAAAGGCAGACGTCTAATTTTTGGAAATTCCCAAAAAAAAATAATTATATTGATTGTGTTAAACATCTACAAAAGTGCGAGGAGCCATAAAATGGGTTCTTGACTTTCGAAAAATGATAATCTTCGGTTCTTGGAAATTCGAGTAAGATTTCTTGAAATGATAAGAAATCGAAATTTTTTTAATAAGTTCAATGTTTTGTTTTTATATTTATTAAATATTTATGTATGTTGGTGTATATTTCAATTTTTGTATTAACATGACCCTTACATTTTTTAGCTAACGTGGTGGGTCCGGAGTCCGCCAAGCGTATTGGCCACGCCTACCGCAGCGTGCACGACATCGATCTGTTTGTGGGCGGCATCGCGGAGCGTCCTGTGGTGGGCGGTCTGGTGGGTCCGACCTTCGCCTGCATCATCGCCCAGCAGTTCAGTAACGCCAGGCGGGGAGATCGCTTTTGGTACGAGAACGGCGGCTTCGAGAGCTCCTTCACCCCCGCCCAACTGCACTCCCTGCGCCGCGTGTCCTTGGCCCAGGTCCTCTGCCGCACGGTGGGCGGTGGCACCCTGCAGCCGCACATCTTCATCCCGGCGGAGTTCGAGGACAACGAGCGACAGACCTGCGGCGTGGGCAGCCTGTCGCCCATCGATCTGAGTCCCTGGTTGGAGCAGGATCCCTTTCACAACCAACAGGTGCCCGATCAGGTGTTCACCATCGGGCAACCGGAATTGGGTTCCGTGCAGGTCATCAAGGAGGACAAGGCGGGCTTCTCGAACCGGGTGAAGCCGATGAAACCACAGGTGGAGATTAGCGCATCCTCGAACAGCGGTTTCCATCGACCTCCCAATGGAAATTCGAGCAAAGTTAGTGACAAACTTGACCTAAGACGCAAGACGGTGACGAACAACAAGACGAACAACAATAACCGACAGACCACGCCCCCTCGAAAGACTGTTAATGGAGTCAACAACAAACTGGACAAATCACCAAAGATCACGATCAATATCAAGAGTGTAAATGTGAGGAGACCCGAGGGATCGGGTCCCAAGAGGAGGGTGATTATCAACAATGTGCCTGTAGAGCTAAGAAGTTCAGGGGGTAATGAAACGGACGCAGAGACGGGAACAGGAACTGAAATCCAGGACGATTTCAACGAGGACGAAGAAATGGACATTGAGGAAGTGGTAGAAGTTAGAGCCAACAGGGATGACCCTTTAAAGATAATTAAGACAGAACTGAACCAAACTGAAACTGACTCAAAGACGACGACAGTTGACCAGAACGAAAGACAGTCAACAGAACAACCCAAAACTGAAAGACGTGACGCCAGAGAGCTTGGACCCCCGAAGGACACAAAGACAGAGGACTCGCGACTACTACACCTTCAAGGCAATAAAACCTTTGGGATAAAGCATTTCCAGACTAGCTCCACAGTCAGCTTGGAACGATCCACGCGACAGACCAAGGCACCCAAGATCAGTAAGCCCACGAAAAGGGGGGTGGAACTTAGACAGTACCAGAACAGACCGCTCTATGAAAGACCCCAGAAGGTGGTGGTCAACGGACCGAACGCCGACCAGTACGAGATCGAGATAAACATAAGACAGACGAACAAGAGTCCGGGATCACGACCCTCGACGACTGACTACGCTGAATACACGACTGCCCACAAACCGTACTACGACTCGAACTACGCACCGCACTACGTGGACTATGCCAGCACCACGCCCATTCCACTGCCCAGCTATGGCTACCATCAGCCGCTCTCCGAGATTAGCAGTCAGGGTGTAAGGACCAAGCCACCGACGATTATCTATTTGAACGACAACGACGACAGACGGACCACTACCCGGGCACCCAATATCTTCCAGAACTTCCTGACCTTCGCCACGAGTGGCTTTAATCCGCTAGGCAACCGACGACCCATGCCCACCACTCCTTCGCCCATCTCCCAGAGCCACAAGGAGCGACCCCAGTTCGAGAATAATGTCGTCCACAGTCCCATTAGCAATTCACATATAATCGCAGGGGGTTCTTCCTCCTCCTACTCACCGCGACCACCTTCGGTGCTCTCGTATCCGGTGGCCAGCAGTTCTCAGATTGGCGGCAATCCTGCTTCCGGTTTTCTGCACGCCTCCAGCAGCGCAGTGAGTTCGGGTCACTTTGGCAGCATTTCGGGTGTAGCCACTGCCAATGGAGCGGACAGCACCTTCAGCTTCAATATACGACCACGTCCGAGTCCGGAACTGGGTCCGGTGGTGAGCTCCTATCCGAGACCTTCTTCCAATCAGGGGGGAGGATCTTCCTACGGCCTGGTGGGGCAATCCTCCTACAGACCCGACTACGTGCCCGCCCAGAGCGAACTGTACTACGACAGAGAACTGAGCACTGACCGTAATCAATCGCCATTTTCCGGATCTAGACCACAACAGACATTTTACGGACGGACACCGGAACTTAGGACACCGGAAGCGGGCAACAACAGCAACGAACTGACCCAGACAGAGCACAAACTGTACCTACAGGACTACGACTATGTGAGCAGGACATTGTCCAACTTGACCACCGACGAAAGTCATCCTACTGAACAGGATTCAGATATAGACTACCTGTACGACGAGGACCTACCTAGCAATGACCTGGACCACACGGAGACCCGAAAAGAGACGGACCCAACCAAAAAGTTCGACAAGGACGGCTACATGAGACCACAACTGATGCGAGACTCGACGATTCAGAACTTGACCGGATCCAACGTGACCTCACTGGACGACAACTACGTAATGCCCATGCTGGAGAACAGGACGCAGACGAACCAGGTGACCGAGGTGCCCAGGCCCATGCTGTCCACCTCCAGCCGGAGTGTGACGAACAGCAAGGTCACCGTTTTCCCGGACAGCCTGGGCAAACAGTTGGGCAACGACATTCTCGCCGACGAGACGGACGACTATGTGGACGGGAACCCGGAGGCGCGGCTGAAGGCCCAGCGGCTGAAGCAATTGGCCAGCGTGGCCTTCGCACCCATTACCGTACTGACGAAACCGGACAGACCGGACAACTGGGTGATCTATAACAAGGCCAGTGAGGAGCCACCACTGCCACAGCCACCGGCCGTCAATATGGATGTGGCGCCCACCGGAGAGGTGCCCACGCCCATCAGGAACTTCAACAACGCCTGGCTGAAGCAGGATCTGAAGGTTCAGCCGGAAAGATTGCAGGTTCCGCAATCTACAGAAGAAGTGCCAGCCAGATCTGAATCCTCCAAGGAGGCGAGGGAGGAAACAACAACTGTGGCAGCAGCGGCCAGTAACTAGAAATGCCAAATTAGCCCTAGATTACTTATTTATTTATTTCTACTTTAAAAGCACGAATTAAAATCTGAATTTTCGTAATTGATTGAATCTCGCTTCTACTTCTAATTTCACTATTGGAACGTAGATCGACTAAAGTCGAAGAAATTTCACAAATTAAAGGCCATTGTAAACTGCAGAGTCGGTGTGCCTTAAATTGTTTGTAGCCAGGTATCCAGTAAGTAGTATCCTTCCAGACTTTTTGGGGTAACACTCCATGGGTTTTACCATACGTGTTGCATATAAGGAAATAGAAATTAACACCCAAAATGTAGCCAAATTAAACAATTCTGTTGATAATGATTAACAACTATTAACAAGAGTCCGATAAGCCAAAAATATAAACTTTCTATAAGCTATATCACTATGGACGGCAGTCCATGTAGTGACGAAGCGCACCAGGAGAGTGTGCGAAGGCGACTACTATATATACACGAAGAAATGAAAATCTACTGTGATGGTCCGATCATAATGAATAATACACCTATCGAAAGGTATTGCGAAAACTAACAGGATTGCATACCAAGACTTTAAGAAAATCAATTGGCTTGGGAGAGAGAGCGGTGAAAGTGAAAAAGTGAAAATTTCGAAATTTGGAGCTGTTGGGGCCGGTGGGGATAAATGCCCCCTCGCAATGTTTTAGTTGTATTCCTTTTGAAAATACCCGTCGAATGAGGGGTCATTTGTCAAAATCCGACTCTCCGTTCAAAAGTTATAGCCAAAATAAGATTTTCTTCTTCTTCCCAAAATGAAAATTTAATTCTGTTTGTCCACTTGTCCACTTGTCCACTTGTCCAAAATATGTTTTTTAAGTTCTGAAAATTTGATATGACGTTCATAACATCGATATAAAAAACTTTTGTTCTACCACTTTTGGAAAAACTCGCTAGTTTAGCGGGAAAACAGCTATAAATAGCTAAAAATCGGAAAGCCGTAACTTTTCCGATCGTTCCTATGGCAGCTATATGATATAGTCGTCCGATTTCGATAAAATTAAAATTGAAATTCGGAAATATTTAAAAAGAGTCATATTCTAGAGTAGAAGATAATACAACAAAAACCAAAGAAGCTAGAATTTATTTCCTATTACTTTTCCATTAATTTTCCGATCGTTCCTATGGCAGCTATATGATATAGTAGTCCGATTTTTTAAATAATTAATTCGAAATTCAGAAATATTAAAAAAATAACATCCCCAAAAGTAGAAGGTAATATTTCAAAAAACACCGAAGTTAGAATTTTTTAAAGTTTTTTTTTTCCGATTGTTCCTATGGGAGCTATAAGATATAGTTGTCCGATCCGGTCGGCTCCGACATATATACTACCTGCAATAGAAAGAAGACTTTTGGGAAAGTTTCATCCCGATAGCTCAAAAACTGAGAGACTAGTTTGCGTAGAAACAGACAGACGGACAGACGGACAGACGGACAGACGGTCAGACGGTCAGACGGACAGACGGACAGACGGACATGGCTAGATCGACTCGTCTAGTGATGCTGATCAAGAATATATATACTTTATGGGGTCGGAAACGTCTCCTTCACTGCGTTGCAAACTTCTGACTGAAATCATAATACCCTCTGCAAGGGTATAACAATGAATCAGATTTCTTAGTGACTTAATATTTTACTGATCCCAAAATATTATAATCATCGTAACATTTTTTATTTTTAATAATTATTTTTAATAACTAATTATTCATTTATTTCGTTAATTTTGTTGGACATCATAATACAACAAGAAATTAATTTGTAGTCACAATTGAAAAGCTAAGGGTAGTATTTTTATTTTTACCATTCTGTTTTATCGGTACAATTTTTACAAAACCAATCCCCAAACAAATCGATTCCAGATGTAATATAAATATTAGTTATAGTTCTACGAATATTTAAAGACATTAATAGCCGGAGCTTAATTTCTGGAAATTCCCTTTAAATGCTTCTGATCAACAAGAGTCTCGACTTTCGAAAATTGATAATCTTTTGTTCTTGGAAAAGCGAATGAGATTTCCTAGTAATTTAATGCTCGTCACCATAATGTTATATTTCTATTCTGACTTCAAATTTCAAAAGAATCCGAAATCTTATTTTATAAGTTCAATATTTTGTTTCTTTATTTATTAAATAATTATGTATGTTAGTCAATATTTTCATTTCTGTGTTAACCTGACCTTAACTTTTTTTTAGCTAACGTGGTGGGTCCGGAGTCCGCCAAGCGTATTGGCCACGCCTACCGCAGCGTGCACGACATCGATCTGTTTGTGGGCGGCATCGCGGAGCGTCCTGTGGTGGGCGGTCTGGTGGGTCCGACCTTCGCCTGCATCATCGCCCAGCAGTTCAGCAACGCCAGGCGGGGTGATCGCTTTTGGTACGAGAACGGCGGCTTCGAGAGCTCCTTCACCCCCGCCCAGCTGCACTCCCTGCGCCGCGTGTCCTTGGCCCAGGTCCTCTGCCGCACGGTGGGCGGTGGCACCCTGCAGCCGCACATCTTCATCCCGGCGGAGTTCGAGGACAACGAGCGACAGACCTGCGGCGTGGGCAGCCTGTCGCCCATCGATCTGAGTCCCTGGTTGGAGCAGGATCCCTTCCACAACCAACAGGTGCCCGATCAGGTGTTCACCATTGGGCAGCCGGAGCTGGGTTCGGTGCAGGTCATCAAGGAGGACAAGGCGGGCTTCTCGAACCGGGTGAAGCCGATGAAACCACAGGTGGAGATCAGCGCATCCTCGAACAGCGGTTTCCATCGTCCTCCCAATGGAAATTCGAGCAAAGTTAGTGACAAACTTGACCTAAGACGCAAGACGGTGACGAACAACAAGACCAACAACAATAACCGACAGACCACGCCCACTCGAAAGACTGTTAATGGAGTTAACAACAAACTGGACAAATCACCAAAGATCACGATCAACATCAAGAGTGTAAATGTGAGGAGACCCGAGGGATCGGGATCGGGTCCCAAGAGGAGGGTGATTATCAACAATGTGCCTGTAGAGCTAAGAAGTTCAGGGGGTAATGAAACGGACGCAGAGACGGGAACATCCTACTGAACAGGATTCAGATATAGACTACCTGTACGACGAGGACCTACCTAGCAACGACCTGGACCACACGGAGACCCGAAAGGAGACGGACCCCAACGAATTGTCCACCAAAAAGTTCGACAAGGACGGCTACATGAGACCACAACTGATGCGAGACTCGACGATTCAGAACTTGACCGGATCCAACGTGACCTCTCTGGACGACAACTACGTAATGCCCATGCTGGAGAACAGGACGCAGACGAACCAGGTGACCGAGGTGCCCAGGCCCATGCTGTCCACCTCCAGCCGGAGTGTGACGAACAGCAAGGTCACCGTTTTCCCGGACAGCCTGGGCAAACAGTTGGGCAACGACATTCTCGCCGACGAGACGGACGACTATGTGGACGGGAACCCGGAGGCGCGGCTGAAGGCCCAGCGGCTGAAGCAATTGGCCAGCGTGGCCTTCGCACCCATTACCGTACTGACGAAACCGGACAGACCGGACAACTGGGTGATCTATAACAAGGCCAGTGAGGAGCCACCACTGCCACAGCCACCGGCCGTCAATATGGATGTGGCGCCCACCGGAGAGGTGCCCACGCCCATCAGGAACTTCAACAACGCCTGGCTGAAGCAGGATCTGAAGGTTCAGCCGGAAAGATTGCAGGTTCCGCAATCTACAGAAGAAGTGCCAGCCAGATCTGAATCCTCCAAGGAGGCGAGGGAGGAAACAACAACTGTGGCAGCAGCGGCCAGTAACTAGAAATGCCAAATTAGCCCTAGATTACTTATTTATTTATTTCTACTTTAAAAGCACGAATTAAAATCCGAATTATTAAAATTTCCTGTTATTGATTTTCGTAATTAATTGAATCTCGTTTCTACTTTTAATTGCATTATTGGAACGTAGATCGACTAAAGTCGAAGAAATTTCACAAATTAAAGGCCATTGTAAACTGCAGAGTCGGTGTGCCTTAAATTGTTTGTAGCTAGGTATCCAGTAAGTAGTATCCTTCCAGACTTTTTGGGGTAACACTCCATGGGTTTGACCATACGTGTTGCATATAAGGAAATAGAAATTAGCACCCAAAATGTAGCCAAATTAAACTGTACAACAGAAGCAGAAAAACCAAATGTGGCTCCTTGAAAAACAATTCTGTTGATAATGATTAACAACGATTGACAAGAGTCCGATAAGCCAAAAATGTAAACTTTCTATAAGCTGTATTCTTTAGTTCCCGAATAATTTAATCTGATTTCTTCGTGACTTTAACCCCAAACAATTAGAAGCCCAATTAAATTTTAATTTTGTAAATTTTGTTGATTTGGCATAAACATTGTCAATACAATTTTTACAATTTTATTTCTCACAAATGAAAGGTAAATTTAAGCCACACGAAACTGAAGTCTTTACGCCATTCATAATTGAAAAACATTCATAGGTTTTAAGTTGTCCGTTCACATAAAAGGGTTGCCTGCCAGCTACCCAGTACCTTGTATTATGCTTGAGATGTCTTCCGAAGTCCGCCGCCTTTATGTAGTTCTTTAGATCCAATAGTTGAGCATTATTTTCTTTACAGGCAAAATAAGCCAAACTCCAGTATTGTAAATCGGACGTCTCAATATAGGCTTGTCGTCCATCGAAGTCTTGGAAAGTCATTTGGTTCTCTGACTCTTCCGAAGAGCGGGGTGTCCGTGGTGGTCGGGGATTGGCCAGGACGTACGTCTTGTATGCAACAAGTGCACACAAAAAGAAAAATGCAAATTTCAGCATAATGAAAGTGTACAGCTGGAACCGAAAGCCGAAAAAATCCAATGAACTGAGTTTTAGATGATGTGCCCATTTTGTACGCAAAATAGACCAAGTATCCCCAATCAAATTGATTCCAGTAATCTACACAGAGAGAAAAAGTAAGTATAATTGTTCTTGAATTGAGAACATTCGTTCTTAAAATCACATGTTTTCGTGTTAGCACGAGAACATTTGTTCTTGAAAACGGGGTAAGCACGTTTCGAGTTCAATTTAAGAACAAAACGGTGATCATAATTGAGATCAATTTAACTGGATACCAGCACATTAAACCAATATTAACTTAAACAAGAAAGGAAGCTACCTTCGGCCAGCCGAAGCTTATATACCCTTGTAGATAAAAGAATACTCACTCGGTGCAGTTCCAGAGATTCCAGATTCAGCGTTTCGATTTATTTCAATTTTGTTTTTAAGTAGTCAAGAATCAAAACGCCTACTTCCTACAAAGTTACATTGAATTTTCTTATATTTGTTTGGGAGCCTTAAGATATAGTGGTCCGATCCGGCTGGCTCCGACATATGTACTACCTGCAATAGAAAGAAGACCTTCGGGAAAGATTCATCGCGATAGCTTTAAAACTGAGAGACTAGTTCGCATAGAAACGGACAGACGGACAGACGGACATGGCTAGATAGACTCGGCTATTGGTGCTGATCAAGAATATATATACTTTATGTGGTCGGAAACGTCTCCTTCACTGCGTTGCAAACATCTGACTGAAATTATAATACCCTCTACAAGGGTATAAAAATCACTTCCTACTTTTAAGAACATTTTCAACTCAAATGCATTCTCTCTGTGAAGAGTGCTCTATTTATATTCGGATTTCAAGATGTGATAGAAAACGGAAAGATTTCAAAGTTCAATGGTTTTTTCCATCAAACGTGTGGTTTTATAAATGAAATAATGCCATTCATTAAACAGTGCAAAACAAATGGCGCCGTTCAAAACGATATAGCAATAAAGGTCTTCGAGCTCTCATGATCGTCCAGTCACTGTCCTTAAACGATATAGAAATAGCGTTCTTTAGATGACAAGTTTCAAAAGCTGTTATCGAATCCAGCCTATTTGCAGAATGATAATTTTAAAGCTGAAGAGCGATCTCGTCAGCACACACAGAGCTCTTGGATTTCATAGTTTACAGGGCCAAAAATGTAACAATTCTTGGTTTGTACTTTATTATAATGCAAACTAAAACTAGTTTATCCACTCAGAGAACACACACACGAATGCTTAACTAAGTAAGTGCCTCCCGACCTTTGGGAAGGGGCGACCCTGTTTCGATATTAATTTCTAATTCGGCATGTCCAGTTTGTGGTATTTGTTGGCGCAAACATTGCTGTGCTAAATGGTGTAAAAGTAATTGGGCTACCAAGGTAATCAACAGTATTATCAACATCATCATCAATTACGTACAAGTACAAGTATAGTTATGTGTATAATAAATTATTCTTGTCACCGATCGGCCTCTATGCGTGTTAGGTATAAAACGACTAAGTATAACAAAAATAATGTACACTTTAAGCTACAACACTTTGGGGTATTTGCATATTGAATTGCGTTACTTGAACATCCTAGTCCTCTACAAAAGTACATCCTCGATGCGTCCGCCAAAAGTGATTTAATAATTCGCTATCATTGGCAATTCAACTAATTAACTTCTGCTCCTCTGCTGCTTCCTCTAGCCTTTGTTATTTACAATCTTCGGCGAATCTCCTCAGGTTCTGGTGGTTCTCAGTACGTCGCGTAAATGCAGTTTTGAGTTGGTTTCAGTTTGGCTGGGGATTGTGCGCTCTTCACCAGCGGATCTGGTGCTTGTACTGCTCGTCCACCGCAATGCGCTTGATGGTCTCGTAACCTAGGATAATGCTGAATGAGAAGGCTGCCGACTGCACCAGGCGGGCGGACAGGCCCTTGAAGAAGCAGTTCAGCTTCTCCTCCTGCCAGAGCTCCCGGAAAGCGACGCTCATCGAATCCAGACGGTGGACCTGAGGGAAAAACATTGTTTAATAGATTACGCATGAGTGACGAGCAGTTTTAATTGTAGCGATAAGAATTACGACATCTTCAATAAAAATTGCAATGCGGGACTCATTTTACAATCTTATAAACTAATAAAAATTCTGATTTAAGAAATGTAAAACAGTTTTGGCATTTATGGTGATAGTATCAACTTGATACACTTTTAAAGTAAAATATAAATTAAATAATTAAATTAAAACTGAGTAAAACATGCATTGTATAAGCCATCTTCAATAAAAATAGCAGTGCGGAACACAGTTTACAATCTTTTAGACCAGCGGTCGGCACACACAAACGATGACATTTTGTTCTATATTTGTGTGAGTAATTTGCACTGGGCAGCTCATCAATGTGTGTGTGTAGACCGCTGTTCTACAGTGTACATGAGAGGCAGCGGATGGACAGAGCAATTCCCTATGCTCACTTAATAGAACGCTGCCGACCGCTGTTTTAGACTAATATAAATTCTGATTTAAGAATGAAAAATATTTTTTAAATTAAATTTAACGCAGTTTTGGCATTTATGTAGATAGTATCGATTTGATACACTTATAAAGCGAAATGTAAATTAAATAATTAAATAAAAACTGAGTAAAACAGGCATTGTATGAGGCAATAAAATCTCACCTGCAGACGCGCTCGCACTATATCTAATGGATTGGTTAGTATTGTCGTTGTGAAGCCACCCAGGCTGCCGGCCACGCACTGGATAAACAGATGGGACACCCAGACGGGGCAGATGCGGAAAAGTTCGTCTGCGAATAGGGTTCGAAATGAATATAATCTAATCTCACTCACAGGCGGAAGACCTACCCTGATAGAGGTGATAGAAGGCCCACCACATGGCCGAATTAGGTACGTAGGCCATCAGGCTGGCGGTGTAGCCGCGGTAGAAGCCCCGGAAGCCATCGCGTCGCATTATCTCCCTGCCAATGTCCATGGAGATGTGCAGGCGACTGCGACCGGGCCACGACTTGATGCCCAGCGGGTTGATATCGCCCTTGGAGCCGGCATGGGCCGACATGCCGAGCACCATGGCGTGCTGCGATATCACGTCGAAAGGAACTATGATGGTCTGGCCCACCAGCGAGGCGCAGCCGCCGCCGGCGAGGGCCTTCATCCGATGCCCGGCGCCCAGATCGCTGAGCACATGGCGCACGCCCTCGTAGGTGCTGATGTAGAAGACGCCGGACACTATTTGCACGGAGGAGATCCAGAAGCCCCTGTACAGGCCGGGCACTCCCTCCGAGCGGTAGATCTTCATGGCACAGTCCACCATGCCCTTGTAGACATCGCTCTTGTGCTGCACCTGCAGCTGCGTCTTGATCACCGTGAGCGGGAAGAGGCAGCAGCGCACCGAGAAGGAGCTGAGCATGGAGAGCGGAAAGAACTTGGTCTTGTTCATCATGTCCCATTCGATGGTGCGGATGTAGGGTGTCCCGTCGGGCGCAACTCCTGCTCCGCCGGGTGCCTGCACCGCCAGGCGGGATGAGGTGCTCTCCGCCATAGCTGCTATCTGTTTAAGGTGATCCTCCTGATCGTTCGCATGCGTGGAGGCTTCTGTGCGATGTGGGCTTCCCTCACAGCCTGGCGAGCTGTTGTCTCTGGAGGCATTCGACCTGCATGACTCTAGATGGGTTCCTTTGTCCGCCGCTTATTGTTGCCGTGTCTTCACATACATATGTATATATATATCTGATCTGGGGAATACAAAGCATCATCAGTACATTGACGCAACTCGGAGGCATACGCACGAAAATCGTTCCCAAGGTCGCGAGACAGATACGGATTTCGATGGGCCGCCCGTGACCTTTGCTCCTCCGCCAAGGCCAAGGAAATCCAAATCTATTCGGTGGCTATCTAATCTATATATATCTTGGCGCCTCCGCCGATTCGGAGTTGTTATTATATAATGCGCAGACACCTGACTGAGTGGCCTCCGCCCCCCGAGCCACCCCTCGCCCACCGTGCAAAAAGCACACACGGACGTAAACAAACTCTTCACGCGGAGTCTGGACGGGATTTCCTCGGCCTCAAACACTGGGTGAGGTGAGAGCTGGTCTCCCAGGTGGTTCCGCGGTCACTTACCTACGCCTGTGTGCTTGTTTGGATATTTGCTTTGTACATATCACATAATAAATCTGATGAGAATGAAAAATTGCTATAAGAGAGATTTTTTGGGAGTGCAAAGTGTGGCCAGAGGATTGGGTGGAATGAAGCTGAAAATGCCTCAAGTGCAGGTGGAGAGCTTTGATAAGGGCTTAGTGTGGACTCGAACCGGAAGCAGGGGTTGCTTCCATTTAAATGTCGGTTTTACATTTTTAAAGAATGCATTTTAATTATCTTAAATAGATAACTTTGTTTGGATATGACCAGTAAATTACACAAATATTTTATAATTAGCAGGTCTATTTTTATAAAAATTTTTACCAGTTCCATTCAACATTTGTATAATGAAAAACTACGAAATAATAAATTAATTTCGTAAATTAATTGTTTTATCTGAGGATTTTGTTCTAAATGTTTTTTAAAAATAATCATTAAAATGTTCATCATTAGGATTAAGATATTTATCATTTACTTTGCCCTAACAAAGACAGAAGATTTTAGCAAACAGCCGCATACCTGTAATCCCCATTTCAAATTTAAATGCTTTGCAAACTGCTGTCAAATCTGTTGACTTTTGACATTTCCTTTTGACACTATTTACCGCCCACGCCAGCCGCCCATTGGTCCTTCCCCTTTGGAAAGAGCCAACCAATCAGCCGAAAGCGGAGGCGTGACGCGCCTGCGCAGTGCCTCCTGCCCAGCATCCCGGGGCACCAACCCCCAAAAAAGGTGACTCCGGCCGCATCCTGGCTGCCAGGCATCCTGGCCAGGTGGCCTCAGCCAGTCACCACGGAAACTCGAAAGCAACTGCACGAAAGGCAACGGAATGCGCGCTGATCAGTCGCCAGTGAAAGCCAAGTGAAAGCTCCAACGAGCTCTGAATAATTGAGGACTATTGATGTCCAGATCCTATTAGTGAAAATCCAACAAGTTCAAGAGTGCATCCGGACAGCCGGACCAAAATCGATCCATGGATACAGCCAAATTGGTAAGATTCGCTTAAAGCTTTTATTTCTGCTGCATCTCTGGACATAAATAGGGCTTAAACTAGGAGTCCTTGGAGGCACTTAGCCGTAGCTCAGGGTGTAGCCCATGTTCTCCATCAGAGTCTCCTTGATGGCCGGCTGGAGGGCCCGCTGCATGTAGGTGGTCAGCAGACCCCGCACGCCCATCGAGAAGAGCTTCTCCAGCTCGTGGGACATGGCCTCGCCCACCAGCTCCTCGCGATCTCCGCTGGAACTTGCTCCTCCGCTGGCTGCTCCACTGAAGATGTCCGCAAAGGCACGGGCATCCGGCTCCACCAGCTGCTGCAGCTGCTCATCCTCGAAGTGCAGCACATCCTCGCTGAAGTTGATCTGGTCGGGAACCAAGTTCTCCTTGGCGAACCGCCGGCGGCGTCTCCGCTTTTTGCTAAACTGCCGCCGGTAGAAGTTGTCGCCATTCACATCCACGAACTCACCCGAATCCTGGGCCTGGCTATCGTTGCCCAGCTCCACGCTGCGATCCCGCTGAGGATTGCCATTCTGACCCCGTCGTATATCGTATCCAACTGGCCGAGAATCTGGTTGAGAATCCTGAGTGTAGTGCAACTTGCCCCATCTCTGCGGCCTCTTGCTGCCCAGAATCACATGCGGTTCGCCCAGTTCCACATCCGGAGCACTGCCGAACCGCCGCTTGGAGTTCTGGCGCAACCGAATCCCAGTGGGTCCCTGGCATCCGTGGGCGAACACCGATATGAATCCCGGCTCGGCGAAGTGGGAATCCGTGCGCACGGAGGCAGCTCCCAATCGCCTGGACTGCTCATAGTTCGCGGAGGATTGCCCCGATCCCGACTCGTATCCCAGTGGCACCGTTCGGAACTCGATGCCCGCATGCCGGAGTCGCAGGATCATGTGGCATTTGCCGCCCATCGGTTGCATCACCACCTTGCCGCTCAGCGTGAGATCCGGAAAAATCAGCCGCGTGTCCAGCGTGGAGTTCTCCGTGCTGAACTTGCACTTGTCGATCTCCACCCAGCGGTTGGCCGACTTGGCCGGCGGCACTCGCACCTTGAGATCCTCCACATCCACCCGGGAAATGGCCAGTTTGTGGGGCTGTCTGTGCTGCTGATTCTGCTGGTTCACCGCCAGCAGATCCTCCAGCTCCAGAGCTCCGGAGCTACTGGAATCGGAGAAGGGATAGGGCTGTCCGCTCCGGTGGAGCAGCTTGGCATGATAGCCACGCCCCGAATTATAGCCACCACCGCCCACGTTGTAGAAGTCGTCCTCCGGATCGCTGTGCTGCCCATAGAAGCTGTGGTACAGCTGGTAGGGACTCTGCGGCGGTGGCTCCCACATGGCTCTCGAATAGGAGGAGCTCTTGGTCTGGATACTACGACGTCTCATGTGCTCCAAAGCGTTCTCCAGGCGGTTGGAGCAGCGGTGGGGCAACTGATACGGCTGGCAGAGGGTCACTAAGGAGCAGGGATTAGTAGGATTGGGATTAGGATGAAGTGGTGGTCACTTACCCTGCAGCAGAGCCCACATGGTCAGCAGAAAGTGCAGCCTATTTAGATACCGGCTCACGATTTTCAGCATGGCAGTATAGCAAACATGGAGTGGGTATTATAGATACTATACTCAGATTATAGGTTTTTTAAAAACCCTTTAAACTTATTTTAAAGCTTTTTAAAACACAACCACTTCGATATTTTCAACACATTTTATGATATTTTTTAATTATTTGGAATTATTTTTGAGTTTTTCAAGTTATTTCATTTGTTTGTACTGGAATTCTTTTGTAGGTTATCAACACTCTTTAGTTCTTCAAGAAATATATCTTGTGAATAGGGTAGTCCTCCAAAACTTTAGTTCTCGTATGTATGGTTTGGTTCCTTTAAGAAATCTTTTAAAACTTTGACTTCGGTATATAATTCCTAAATTGAATTGGATTATCAATCTGGTAATATTTCTTTATAAGAATCCTCTACCATCTGGAAACACCTCCGAACGCGACCGCAGCTGAACCGAAAATGCGAGGCCCAAGCGGATCGAGAAACTGGCTCGGTTGCGCTTCCATTGCCACCAAAGGCACAGCACCCACAAGAAGACGGAGAAGAGCAGCCATCGTGATGGTGACGACCGTGTCACTGCCTCATCATGTGCAGTGAAAGTGTTTTCCACGACGGATCCACAGCCAACAGACGCGAAAAGAGACAGATTCGGAGTCCGAATCAGTCAAGCCAAGCCACACAACGCACCTCGTCGTGGAGGGGAAAAACAAGGGAAAAAAGACCGAAGACTAAAACAATTTGAAGAAAGAAAAGCATTGTCTTCTGTGGGCCTCACGGGCCTCACCTCTCAACCGCCCCCTTGGGCTGCTGCAAACTAGATCAGTACATATACCCGTATAATATATATACCTTATATTGTATACACACTCGGAGCGCCGAAAAGTAAACACGAGAAAAGTTTCGTAATGTCAGTTGCGGGCGCGCATGCGCCGTAATCTCTCTCATTGTTTCAGAGGGTTCAAAGTTGATCAATCCGTCGGATGAGTCAGTCACCCACCGCCACAGTTTGTTTTCCCAATTGCACTTGTAATTGGCACCAATTGCGCATACAAATTAGGGCCTAATGGGCGGACCCATGGGCTTTATAAGGTACTGAAGGGTATTTGCCCTATGAAGATAGCTGTTTTGAGATTTGCATAATGAATAGGGGTTACATTAATTCAAAAATGTATGATCGATCAATGGAAAGATCATTCCATCATCAATAAAAAATATTTTTAAAAATATTTATTTTTTTAAAAAGTTATTATTTATTTTAGCACTTGATTTTTTATTACAAATATTTTTTATTAATTTTATTCTTGTGGTATAAATTCTATAAATCCAAAAATAAACTTCCCTAAATTTCTAACAAAATTTTTAGAAGATATTTTCCTGTTAAGGGAGTTTCCCCTTCGAGGTGAACCGTCCAAAAAGTAGTTCCCTGTTGCACCTGCGCACGTGTGGCAGGTGACATCGCTTGGCTGCCGATGTATTTTTATTTCTTTTAGCTGCTCGCACATGACAGTTACACTATTACACTAAATAATTGCGGTAATTTGATTTGACAAATGGTTCGCTTGCACTTAGCAAACGCAATTCGGCGCTATATTTTGCAATTTATCAAAAATTTGTGCGCGCAAAAAGCGGAAGAGTAGTTCGTTATGGATTGCCAAACGCCATTGGACTGCCAGTTGAATGTACCGCGTTCAAGATTTACATAACCCCCGATTTCGGGGGGAGAAAGTCGAGCATTCTGCATTTCTTCTGGCCGAAAATGGAGAAAAAAGGGACGGTGCCGCTTTCTGCGTTTCCATCTGAGGTTGTTTCTCCATTTCTATTCCAACTTGAAGTTGGGTGGCACACTGCCGATAGAGCCGAACCGAACCGGCAACGATTACGGGCATGTAATTAAGGGTAACTATCGCACAAATGGTTCTCGAATGCGACGGAGCACATCCACATGGCACTGCATCCATCGCATCGCTTGCTGCTCCAGTTTCCAAATGTCAAGCAAGGGACTCGAAATGAGGGCAGCACTGGATGCACTTCGGGCTGGAGGCCCGATAAAGTGGGTTCCGAAAACAAACAAAGGCAGGAAAATTGATCGGAAACTTTAAAGAAATTCTATTGTCTTTGCTTGTTGAATTAATGTTAAACTTATTTGGGATACCTATTTAAATTAGAAACTTCGAAAGTGACCCACATCTTAACCAGAAACTAAAAGGAATAGTTACTTTTCCACATAATAATATAATATATTTCAACTAAATATTTAATATTCTATAATAATTATTCAGGTTTGGTTCTTTAATGGGAAAAATTAAAGACCTTGATCTAGTATTATCCACATATCTTTTGCTAGAGACTATATTGTCATCGAGTTTCCCCCATGAAAAAGTGAAATCCCTGTCGGCTTTAATGAGCCCCACGAGCAGGGTGATATGATAACCCGGAGAGAGCGAGAGTGCGACCATAAACAAAGGTTAACCTCGGCCCAACGCTCATTAAGTGTACAAGTGTCAATAAACCGCAGTTGGAGTTGGCATACACCCATCCACATACCATATCATATCATGTCCAGTTCCAGAGTTTCAGTAGTTGTTGCCGACAATGGCTCATTACTTAATGGCCAAGAACAAGAGAACCCGGCCAATTGACACCCGGCAAAGGCAATGGCAAAGGCAACAGAAAAAGCAAAAGAAGCTGTTAGACTAATTGCCACAAGTTCCACTTGACTATGTCAATGTGACGAGTTGGCCATTCCAATCCATTGTCTGAGCAACCTGTTAGCAGCGGGTGGCAGTCGAGTCACCCAGCAGGTGGCTTTAAAGTGCGACTGGCTTAAAGGGCAACCCCCAAAAACATGGCAAATTGACAACTAATTTGGCCGAGACGAAATCAAAATCGAAATCGAAATCCCCGCCGAAAGAGACTCCCAGACTCATGACAATTTCCTGGCGCGCCCTGCCTCATTTCCTTCTTCCGCAGAGCGACTACGGCGAGGCCAAGACGCACTTGGAGCAGCTGCAGCAGACGCTCACGCACCTGGACCACCCGCACCACCCGCACCACCACCACCACCTGGGGCTCTACCATGGCGCCCTGCCCAGCACATCCACCATAACCACCGACTCGGTGGTTTCCTGCGTCAGCTCCACCCTGCCGGCGGTGGCCAAGGCCATTTCCGCCTCCTCCAGCTGCGATGGTCCGCAGGCGGAGCGCAAGAAGTGCCACACCAGCGATCTGGATTCGGTTGCCCAGGGTCATGGTCATGGTCACGGCCTCATGGAGGCCATCTGCATTGGCCAGAAGACGTCGCCGGTTCCGCCAGTTGTGCCACCACCCTGCTGCTTGGCCCTGGGCGAAGGACCCTCCTCGCCGAGTCCCATCGCCACGGCCGCCCTGATGAACGCCACCTCCGGATCCTCCAGCTCGGGCGGAGCAAGTGCCTCTCTCTGCAACGGTCTGTATTAAATACTCATGCGTATTCTAAAATATATTATTAAACAGGAGGAATCTATGCCGATTTGTAGGGGTTTTTAAATACTATAAAGATCTATTACTTCTAAATAAAAAAGGGAATTATTTAAAAGGGGAAGTAAACCGCTAGTAAAAGCGGTATAATGGGTAAAAAAGACAATTCCCTGTCCTAATACTAACTTTTAAAAAATGTGTTTATAAAATCGGTATTTTGGCTGTCTTGGTGCAAAATAATGTCAGAATAAGGAGTGTCGTACCTGGTTAATCTCTTAAATAAATTTAAAAACAATTGGCATTCAAATATGAAACTTTTTATTTTTGTTCATTTTTCGCAAAAAAATCATGATGTAACCCCTTATGAAAAATTTTAAAGTTAGTCAACAAATTGGTTTCCCTAAAAGTGTTAGGGATCCTCACCTTTGGTTGGTAGCTGCTCAAAACAGTCGGAATTTAAGCTGTAGGGGTTGATTCATTCAAATTACGATTGAACAACTTTAAAAAAATGCATTTTTTCAAAAATATCAAGTTTTTGTAGTGTATATTTTAAATTTAAACCAAATTGATTTTTAATAAAGGTTTTTTTTGGAAAAAATAGTTGAGGCTAAGTTTCTTTAATTCCCCACTCTGCAGATCTCACGCGGGAGTCCTCCTGGTACGCCCACCACCATCATCACCACCACCACCATCACCACCAGTTGGCCGACGAGCTGGTCATGTATGCCACGCCCACGCCCACGCCGGCAATCGGGAAATTCGGGCTGGACACCTCCACTGAGGGTTACTTGAACGCAAGGTACAATGGTAAGCGTCCTCGTCCACGTCCACTGTCAAGTCCGGATGCAGCCCGCTCCTCCTGCTCCTCCTCGTAATTCATCCTTCTTCCTGATCCCACAGCCAACTCCACCCTACTATATCCACTTTCTGTTTGCTTTTGCTATTTACACGTTCGCTTGTTTATTAATTTTCCATTATGAGTTCAGAAAAGTGAGTGGGGGATGGAAAATGCTTCTCATGGAATGGGCTTGGGATTTCGGGCTGCTTGCCCTTGCCGCCCGGAGGCTTTGTTTCAGCTTAGATTGTTTTTTTAAGTTTTTTATTAAGAAAACATGACTGAAGTTGGCGCGTGCCGAGGCCCAAAGAAGATAAATATATTTGTAGCTGTAGGACAACTTAGATAAGGTCAAAAATATTAAACTAATCTTTTAAAAATGCAGCTGTTTCGAACTTTGTACTGATATATAGGAAATAACTATACCTAACTGCAAATACTAAGCTGATTTTAGTTTAAAGACTTTTTTCCCCTGTTTTCTAGCAATTCCTCAATTAAAGTTAGCTTTAATCCCCAGACCCCTATTCCATTTTTAGCTATCTAGTCTTGAATTTTTGCTGGCATTCGATTATGGGCAAGTCAAGTGCAGGTTACAAGCTCGATTTGTGGCCTCAAAGGCATCCCATTGCGAGCGTTAATATGAAATATTATCTAACAAAAGTCGAGGCCACCTCGCTTGACTAAGAGATGTTTTTCTTTTTTACCCGGGGGAGCTTCTTCTCCGGCATTTATGAGTGGAAAACGTAACCTGGACTTACCTGTTCTTTATTTTTACCTCCCATTTTGATCTGGCATCTGCAGTGAATGTCAAAGGCGTGCGGCATGAAAGAACATCGAGTTTCTTTGACATACCCGCTGTGACGCACCCACACTCGCATCCGCACCCACATCCGCATCCGCACCCGTACTGCTACAGGTAAGAATCTGAGAAATCCGGGGATTGAACTTCACGCTGACAAGACAAGTCAACTTTAAGTCAATCAGCGGAGTCGCCTGCTCCGAGCTCCTCGAATAATGCGCTTTCTATATACTTTTGATTTATGCTCCATCCAGATTTCCATCATCGCCACCCGCGGGCATTCTAAAAAAAGGCCAGGACGAAGGTAAGTCCCCTCCAAGATTGAGAAAAATGAAAGGAAAATGATTAAAGCCGTGCGTTCGCTCATCATTTATTCAAATTATTGTGCGCGATATGCATACCTATTACCTATCGGTGGGTAATTCAATTCAGCTGCCTCTTCTTAGTGGCTCCCAATATTTTTTCAAATAAAATGCAAGAAATCGCGCGCATAATTTACAATAACAATATCGCCGGTGTTAGTAACCGCTAATCCAATTGGCGGCGGCACAAGCGTGCAATTCAATTTCGAGGGCCAGATATAGTTGGCCTCCGGTGGGCGGTGGGCGGTGGGCGTGGTCCCGAGCGTGGGCTGAATCCCAACCGCCCATCGAACAAACAGCTCAATCACGGAACAGCCGTTGAGTGGTTTGTGTTAGCTACACCACCCACCCCAAACACCCCATCCACCCATATACACTCAGAAAAAATAAATTTAGACATTACAAAAAATAATGTATTTTTTAAAGTTTAATCAAATATTTTTTTTTGTTTAAATATTTATTTCTAGGCTTAATTTTTTTAATTTTTTAATTTTTATTGATATAATATCCTAGCGCTGCAAGCGTAAGCTTATTATTATTGCGCTAGTCACTTTGACAAAATTGCTTATAACATTTTTATATAATACTTAAAAGCTAACAATTTTCAAAATCATTAAATTAGCGAACTATTAACATTTAATTCTTATATACTATATACTTTTTATTTTTATTTTGATTATTTTGTTTTTTTTTTTTGTTTTTTATGATTTTTTACCTAATATTACTTATTTCTACTTTTATTGTGAACTATTAACATTTAATTCTTATATACTATATACTTTTGTTTTTTATTTTGATTATTTTAAATAGAAATCTTTTACAAAAACATTTACATTATGGGATACAACAGACAACCAATTTGGTATAAAAAATGTTTAATCGAAAAACGTAAAAAATTCTAAAAAATGAAATAGATCATTTATAAAACCCACAAAAAGCAGAAGTATTTTAAGAATTAGTACACCATAGAATCCTATTTTAGAAAATAATTTAGAAAGATAACATGGTCCCGGGAAAAGCAATTGTTTTTTATTTCTACTTCTATAATAATGAAATAATTCTATATTTAATGTCATTAAAAACTTGTGAGGCAAGATATAGGTTTCTTTATTCAAAGGCAGGCTATAACTTAAAACTTCATGTAATCGGTGTGTACTATTTACTATACAAAGCAGTCAAATATTTTTTTCTGCATGTAGTGCACTGCTACACCCTCTTTCACCCACCCAAACCCCCACCCTTGGGCTGCAGGGCCAACAGGTCTTCGTTTTCCATCAGCGGCAGCTCGTTTGTTGATATCGACAATGATGTTTTTACTTGTCGACACTTGCTCATGGATTATGCAAAGGTATCTCCTGAATTTTTAATGCGCCGAGCGTCGAGTCGCGATGAGGTTGGTCGAGGGATGGATGGTGGGCTGAGGGGTGGGAAGAGCTGGGAGTTATGGAGTAACTACCTAATGAAAAGGGCAAACTCGAGTGCTTCGGCGGTTGGGGTGTTGTGTGCGTCCCCGTTAAATTGCAGCATATTGAGCATTTTGCAGCGACTGACGGGAGTGGGCTGCTTAAATAATTAATTGCTGCTAAATACCCTGGCCATTTAGAAAAGGCCAACGGCACCCAAACAAAGCAAAACAATGTAAAAGAGTTTTTAATGGCAATACAGAAGGAGGGTTGCTCTTTAATAAGGGAATTTTAATTATAAGTTACCAAAATTATCCTAGATTATAAAACCATTTAAGAAATGTATCTTAAACAATTTGTCTTGTCTTATTGGCTTTTTAAATTTTATATTTAACGATGAGTTAATTTATAAATTATGGTTATACCATATCCAAAAATGCTTAGGCTAATTTTTGTCAAAATAATTGAAAATCCCATATTACCCTCTGTAGCAAAGGGTACCCGAAATACCCATGTAATTAGCGCCCATTCCCTCGACACCAAAACCATTGCTCAAACGTGCATGAAAGCGGCTTTCGCTCAGCTTCTGTTGAACTCCTTTTTTGAATCCTTTTTTTATAGACTCAGCCCCGGCAGCCGCTGCTGCTGCCGCCGCCGCCGCTGCAGCCGCAGCAGTTTACTGCAGCGATGTGTCCTCCGGCCAGCACTTCCAGCATCACACAAAGATCGAGGATGCGGACTCCACCACAACGGCGGCCCAGCAGCAGCAGCAACATCAGCAGCAACAACAGCAGCAGCAACATCAGCAGCACCAGCAACAGCAGCAGCAACAACAGCAACACCACCAGCAGCAACTGCAACATGTGGCTGCACTGCATCCGAACCACCATCATCACCATGGACACCACCACCAGCAGACGGAGCAGCAGGCGCTCACCCACTTGACGCCACTCCATGCCGCCTCCGCCTTCAAGTTTAGTCACACGGCGGTTATTTCCAGTTCGGCGGTATATGCCACGCCCTCTCACTACGCCCACCAGCAGCAGACGCAGTCGCAATCCGTCTACCGGGAACTTTCGCCCACCACCTTGGCGGCGGTTAGCGATGCGGATTTGAAGTACGACACTGGTCCCTACAACGCCACCATTTCGTCCACCTATCCCTCTGCCCTGCGACCCAATGTGGTGGACTCCACCACCTCCAGCGATGCGGAACTGCGTCTGGATCAGTTCTACGCCAGCAATGGCATCTCCACCAGCAGCAACGGCCAGACGATCAGCCAGCGGAGGGGCTCCCTGCAGCTCTGGCAGTTCCTCGTGGCCCTTTTGGATGAGCCCACGACCAGGTGAGTTTAGTAGTCCATGAATTTATATTGATTTTAGAATAAAGTTTAGTAAATTAACACTCTGAAATATAACATTAATCGCTATTTATCAGCGTTACCTCAATAATACCATTTAGTTAATAATCGGGGTCACCAATTGGACGTGAGAAGTTCTCTATAATATAAGTGATATTTCTTACACACAAAGATTTGAGTATTAATTATTATCAATTAGGTCAACTCCCAAAATCAGTATTTCTTTAAAAATCGGGGTCACCGTAACCTCAGTAATACCAATAAGTTAAAAATCGGGGTCACCATTTAGACATGAGAAGTTCTCTATAATATAAGTGATATTTCTCATAGACAAAGGTTTGAGTATTAATCGTTATCAATTAGATCAACTCTCAAAATCAGTATTTCTTTAAAAATCGGGGTCACCAATTATTACCATTGTAGATCTTTACCAATTAGGTCAACTATTAAAATACCACTTGGTTAAAAATCTTTTTCACCTTTTAAATTACTTCTTCCAGTGCCAGCTGCATCGCCTGGACCGGCCGAGGCATGGAGTTCAAGCTGATCGAACCAGAGGAGGTGGCCCGTCGTTGGGGTCTCCAGAAGAACCGGCCGGCCATGAACTACGACAAGTTGTCCCGCAGTCTGCGCTACTACTACGAGAAGGGCATCATGCAGAAGGTGAACGGAGAGCGCTACGTCTATCGGTTCGTCTGCGATCCGGACGCCCTGTTCAACATGGCCTACGGTCACCTGACCACCGGAACCGGTTCCGGAAAGGGCGACCAGCACCAGTTGACGCTGTCGCTGGCCAAGACGCCCCCGACTTCCGGCGACTCCCAGACGCAATCCACCCGCGTGGCCAAGTCGGAGTATTACGATACCGCCGGCTTGCATAAATATTAGCTAGATAGTCGGAGTGTATGTATCCATATGTGGGCGGAGCGTGGGAATGCGGCCGAGTGGGCGTGGCCGGGTCCCGTGTACATTGTGTAATCTAGTTTGCGTGTGTATGTGCGTGGGGTCACGAATTTGAAATGAAGGTTTCGTTATGATGAGCTGGGTTTTGGAATTTGGGAAAAGCTCATTTTCACCATTTACTATCTTAAACTCAACCACTTTACAGTCATCCCCAGAAAATGAGAGTTAATTACAGAAATTTAACAAAACCAAAACAAAGATTCCAAAATAAAATCACAAATACAAGATGGTTTCATTATATTTACTTTTTCCAGTCAAGTCACCTTGCCACTCTCTTGAGTTTTTGCCTGACACTACCTAAGATACATAGTTATTGATTCCAAAGACTAGGCTCATCAAAACGACATAAACGAATGGTATTATACAATATTTACATATATCATATGTACTAACACGCCTATGTATACATAGTACATTAAATAATATGTGTATATAGAGGGGGATACCAAAGAAAACAACTATTGTATGTGTCCACCACTAATCGTAGTTCTGCGTTGAGGTTGAGTTACTTAATAAACTATTAAACCTGTTTCCGATTTCGAAACCCATGTAATTTCTTTAAGATTATACATTTTACTTAAAATTCCGATAAATTGGATAGTTTGGAAACCGGAAACAGGCCTGTGTGAACCGTTTCTGTTCGTTAATCAAATGGCAGCAGAGTTTTTTTTATCATTCGCACCTCACTCCTCCTTCTTCTTCTTCTTCTTGGGCTTATCCTCCTCATCGGAATCCTGGCTAGAACTACTGGCACTGCTGCTGCTGCTCTCCTGCTTGCGTTTCTCCGGAGTCTTCTTGGCCAGCTTTTCGATGTACTGCTTCAGTTTATCCGGCTGCGGACTGTATGCCCAGTGGATCAACTGCAGATGGAGATCGGTGGGAGCTCCCGTTTCCGCATCGAAGAGCTTGGCTTCCTCGCTCTTGATCTTCTCCAGCAACTTGGTCAGCTGACGATTGCGGACAATGTCCCAGCTGGTCTCATCATCCGCCTTGGGAAACATGGTGCGCAGATGCTTGTAGTTTCCCTTGGCCTTGGAGCCGCCATAAGCCTCCAGGAACTCGCTGGCCAAATCATCCTTGGAGTCCGGCAGCTTGGTGACCACGGCCAGTGGCAAGTAGGCACGGTTCTCCTTGATTCGGTTTTCGGCCTCGAACTTCTCCAAGAAATCCTCCAGCACCTGGACGCCCTCCTTGATGGCCTTGATCTTGTCCTCGTTCTTGGTGCCGGAAAGTACCCGCTTGGAGCTACCAATCAGTCCCTTAATGGCCAACCTCTGGTAGTCCGGATCTCGCTCCGCCAAAATGCTGCAATGCGAGGGAGATGCATATAGAAATATTTTGGATACAGGCAAACAATGTGGAATGTGCTGATATAGTTGTGTAAATATTAGGGTGGATCGTGTTTTTGAAAATATGTCATATCCATTTTTAAAAATAGTTTTATATATGCAACGATATCGGATTTTTCTATAAATTCGAGGAATACATCTCAATAACTTAAATAGTTTTATATATGCATCGATATCTGATTTTTCTAAGAATGATTCGAGGAATATATCTTAATATATTCAAAAACCAATGAATGATTAAAAGGTAATATTAATATTTTTGAACCTAAAAATCAGTCAGTCGGAAAACCAAATGGAATACACCATTTGGTTACTATTTAGATAACCTTTTCAAATCCGCAATGATCATGGTTTTTTGATTTTTAATTGATATTGCTCAGAAATAATCATTATTTTTGAGTTGTATAAATATGTATCAGGAATAATCATTATATATATCCACAAATTCTTAACAAATGACAATGTTTCAGGTTTACGGATTAATATAATCGATCCACCCCAATATACGCATAATACAGAGAGCTGTGAATAGGAAGAGCGCAGTGCCGCCTGCTCTATCAACCTAATGAGACTTCCGAGTTCGACACTCTAAAACTGTGCCATGACATCATTTGACGTCGTCGCTGGTTGCCTGGGCTGAAGGTCTCCGGCTCATTAGAATGGATGACCTGGTCACCTACCTCAGCGTCGCCTCCGCAGCGGCCTTGTCCTTGAATCCCAGTCCTGGCACTGTCTCCACCTTGTCCTCGCTGTCGGTCTTGGCATTCTTGCTGGACGCTCCTCCGCCATTCTCCTCCAGCCACTTCTCAAAGACTCCGATGGCCGCATTTATGTTCTTCAGCTTCTCCTCCGCTTTGGTCACTATCAGAAAATTGGTTAATTAGCTAACTACAGGATTGATCTTCCAGAATCACTTACTCGAAAGGACTCTCTTGGCCCTGCCGAGCAATCCGCGCACTGTCAATTTGCGATACTGCATGTCATGGTCCTCCAGCAACTTCAAAGTCTCCAGCGCCTTCTCCATATCCTTGAAGCCAAACTTGGATTCGCCCTCCGACATGATTGCTCCTTTGGTTGCTAATACTTGGGTTTATCTGTGATATCTGATAGATAGCGTCTGCAGTCTACAAGCGCCAGAATAAGACTGATTTTGCGTAGCCAGATGGCATATGGAATTTAATTATAGGAAGGCGAAAAATGAGCGACGCTGAGAGGCACTGAGCACCGCTGAGCAGGCCAATTAGATAAGCACCACAAAATAACTGGGTGACTCTATGCTGGGGAACCGGTTTGTTGTCGTACCGGAGGAGCAAAACAAAACCCACGAAAAATAAACGAAACTAAGCGTTGCCATGACGTCAGCGCCACGGGAAACTGATAACGAACAACATATGCGAACACAGGGGCGGACACGCGACATTGAAAGGGAATAAACGATGTGGAATTATAGAAACTTAAATGCTACATACAGGCAATTATAATTTATAGCTTGGAATTAGAGAATCAGTCATATTTGATTATAAATTTATCATATCTGTTGCTGAATGTTACTTCTGAATTACTTTAGTTAACCATATTAGCAAATATATACCTCTTAACATAATTTAATGGCAATTTCAAGAGCTAAAGCCCTGCCCAATTATAGTTTCTGTATATCCAAAAGCTTAGAATCAGAGAATCAATCATATTTGATTATAAATTTATCATATGCCTTGCTAAAAAAATCTTCTGAATTACTTTACTTAATCATATCAACAAATATGTACCTCTTAACGTAAATTATTGTTAATTCCAAGAGCGAAAGCCCTGCCCAATTAATACAAGCAAGGGTTATAATTTCTTTTTGTTGTATATTAACATGGAACTCGAAACGCTTTGGGCTTAAAGGATTACGATTACGATTGGCTAGTTGCAGCTACGCCGTATTTGGAGTACATCGTCGACCATGAAGTTGCGCAGATGGCACAAAGCCTGCACCACGTTGCCCTGATCGCGCAGATTCGGTCCGATCCATTGCTCGGGTAGCGGCGCCTTGGCCACCACTTGGGCGGGGGTGACGTGCGTCAGTGCGCGCCGCCAGTTGTTGCTGCACGTGGCCACGTTCAGGTGGCTGCCCGTCTGCAGGCCCTCGATGTACTTGATGTACGCCTCCGAGTGGATGACGCGATTGATGCGCGGTGGCACGGTGACGAACAGTGGCTCCGGCGGCGGTCCTAGGACAATCGTTTGCTGTTGCTGCTGCTGCAGCTGCTGCATTTGGTGGACGTTCTGCTGCTGCTGTTGCTGCTGCTGCAGCTGCACTGCCTCGAGATTGCTGGGAGCACGCGGCGATTGCGCCAGGCTGGGCGGGATTGGCACCGTTGTGGCGCCGGCCAGTGACGCATTCTTCTGGCGACGCGACACAAAATTCTTGCTGCGATCTGCCGGCGCTATCGACTTGCCGCACTTGCTGAGGTGAACCTCGCGCACGTGCTTGATGAGGCGCAGAACATTCGGGAAGGCCTGGGTGGACTTCTTGATGCGCGGGCAGTTGCGCCACAGGCAAACGTACTCCATCTCCACGCCCGCCTGCGGATGACGCTGAATGTGGCCGGTGCCATCGGACATGCAGTGCTCCGTGCAGTCGCCCAGCTCCTCGAATTGAAAGTCACACTTGTCCCACTGGCACTCGAAGGTGAGCACCTGGCCGTAGGCATCCTGGGACACCTGGGGCGAGGGACTACCGCTATTCTGGGCGTCGTCCAGCTCGCGGCGCATGGCCGCCGTCTCCTCGTTCTGCCGGCTGGCACGATCCTCCCAGCTCTGCTTGACGCTGGCGGGGAGATTCTTCCACTCGGTGCCCACCATGCGGGAAATGTCGCCAAAGGTGGCGTCCGGATTGCTCTGGCAAATGCCTAAAATCATAAATATACAATATATAATAAACATTCTCTGAAGCAAATGAAATACCTTACCTTTTCGCACTTCACTGGAGTACAGAATGTAGCCAGTTAGGCATTTCTTGGCCGATTTGGCGGCCTTAACTTTGGAGGTCAGTGGCGTGGAGTTCACCGAAGGAGCCGGCGAGGACATGGCCGCAATGTCTGAACTCAGCGAGGGCGTATCCCCATCCATTGAATCCTCCAGCATGCCCAGCTCATTCATCTCGTTCTTTACATCCTTGGAGGGCTTAATGGGAGTCTTGAAGTAGAAGATCTCATCCTCTGTGACGGCGGGACTGTGCTGGAACTTGCGCATGTTGCCGGCGACCAACTTGCGCAGAGCCTTCTTCAGCTCATCGTAGACGGACTCGCATATGTACACATCGCTCTCCGAAATCTCCGTGGGCCGGGAGCTGATAAATTCGGCGTACTCCAGGACGGCGCATCTGCCCACGATGCCCACGACCGGACTGACCTCCTCGACGGTGCTCAACAGCAGTTCCTGGCGGAAGAATTGCTTGCCCAAGCCGGGAGTCGTTTCGCTGGGCGGCAGCAGCCAGGGGCCTTTAAAGTAGGACTTTCCGTTTTGCTCCCAGATCTGCTGCACCTGGGCCACCGATTGCTTCCCTGTTTGAGTGGCCACATACACAAAGTCACCGGTTTTAATGGCCCCACTGCAGACGGTATTGTATTGCTGATAGTAAATGCTGCTACTCTCTGCATTTGGCGGCGGATCGCAAGACACATTCGGTTTCTCCTTCTCGACCATCGTTTCCTGTAGCTTCAGCTCCTCCAGTTCTCCCTTGTGCTTCTCCAAGCGCTCCTTAAACACAGACATCACACGCTTCAGCTCCAGCGGCTGCTCACGCGGAACGAATTTCACCGAGCTGCCTTCACGCACAGGCGGCCAGTTCTTGAGCTTCTTGAAGCAGCGACCCTGGATGTTGTAGCGCGACTCGCAGACGAACACATCCTTCTCGGGTAGCCGTTCTGGTCGCATCTTGATGTAGTCCTTTATGTTCATCACATAGCACATGCCCAGCACCTTGTCCATCGAAATGGTCTGCGAGAGGCTGCTCTTGAACACCTCCTTTTCGAGGAACTTGCGAGTGGTCACATGGTAGGTTTCGTGCGGCCGCACGAAGATCGAAGCCTGCATCAGCTTTTCGTTGGTAGGCGATGTCCACAGGCGTTCGATGGAGCAAATCGATGGAATCTTGTTCTCCGGCATTTGCACGTAAACGTAATCGCCGGGGGAAAATACCTGCTGGTTGATTGTCATGCTTTCGCCCTTGGCGGCGTTGAACTCCTCCTTTTCCTTGTCCTGTTCTTGGTCCTGCTCCTCCTGCTGCAGCTTTTGCTGGCGACTCACCTCCACGTCGGCTAGAAGGCGCTCGAGGGTGAAACTTAGAGCTGGTGAGCTCAGCGTGTCCTTGCATAACTCGTCCCGCTTGCGGATAAAGTAAGTCTGCAGCTCAATGGAGTCCTACAAGTATAATTATAAATATATAAGAAGAATTAAATTAACAAAATTGTATAGCCCACCTGAAATATATCTGAATCTGTGCGCGACAATTTTCTAGCCCTCTCCAAACAGGCAAATATATCCTCCTGGTAAATATCAAGTCGCTTGTAAGCTCCTTTGTCCAGCCTTCGCTTTACAAGATCCAGCGATATGCCGCGCACCTTGGGCCCCTCGCCAATCTCATCGTACTCGGGCAGTTCGGCCAGGGAATCCGAGTAGCAACGACCCTCCTCGTCCTGGTGATTGTATAGAGTGGTGAACAGCGAGAGGAACAGCTCCTGAACGGCCAGCGGAACATCCGGCAGTGAATCGCGCTCGGTGCGCAGTTGCTGCTTCAGCTGCAGCGTCAATTGCTGCAGCACCAGTGCATCTTTGTAGATCTGCGAGTCGGGTTCGTTGTACTTGCAGGCATTTTCCAGCATCAGAAGGAAGTCCGCAGACAAGTCATCTAGGCTCTCGTAGGCGCCCTGTTTTAGTTTCTGAGCAATTCGGTCCATATCAATGGGTTCCTTAATAATATCATAGTAGTCCGGATACTCGTTCTTCGACGGCAGCTTGGTAAAGATGAGCGATAGCTGCCTCTTGCCCTTGGGCTCCTGGTACTCCTTCACTGATTCGTAGAACTGCCACAGGCGTTCGGTGATCAAAGCGGTCTTTAGCTTCCTGCCCACTTTGCTGTACTTTTGCTGGGGTTTCTTAACGTCCGACAGACCCGGAAACTCCTTGAGCTTTTCGTTTAGAGCTCTTTCCAGAATGTTGGCATCCTCGTATATATTCGAACCCTCCTCGTTGTACTGCCGGCAGTTCGAGAACATAAGTCGGTAGTCGGACACCACATCCTCCACAGCAGCATAGCGATCTGTGCGTATGTTGTGCTCAATGGTGTTCATATCAATGGGGTTCTGGATGATATCGTAGTAGTCGGGATAAACCTTTCGCGGCGGCTTCTCCATAAACATCTCTATGGGACGACGATTGCCCAGGGAGTAGTCCACCAGATACTTCTGTATGCTCAGAATTTTCTTCTTGATTGCCGCATTGATGGCAATGCGATTGGATTTCGGGGAATTCGAGTTGTTTGGCGTGTGACAGGCATTCGAGTTGCTATTCGAGTTGACGCGCGGTCTGCCCGGCTTGCGTCTTTCCGGCTGCGAGCTGGTCGCAAAGACCTCGGCGTCCAAATCGTCTGCGTCCTCGTCATCCAGATCGCTGCCCTCCTCCAGGGACTCCTCCACCAGCTTGGCGTTCATCAGCTTCAGCATTTTCAGGGCATCCTTGTGCGTGCGATGGGAGGGCGGAAAGGCCTTCTTCGCGTTGTCCAGCATGAGATACAGATCGGCGGTGAGATCACTGATGTTGGCATAGTCGCCCTTCTTCAGCTTCGTGTGGATCTGGCTCATGGAAATGGGTCGTTTGATGAGCTCAAAGTATTCGGGGTGAAAACGGCGCACTGGCAGTTTCCACAGCGAGTTGCCCAAGGGAGGACCAGTGACCCCGGGATGCTCGGAGGTTCCTGGTGCGTTGTACAGATGGTCGAACAATGCCCACATGGGTCCTTCGCCCTTTTTGCTGGTCTCCTCGTCGTCGGAGCTGTCCACCTCCTCTTTAAGGGCTAAAAAGATACAGGTTAAATATGAAATAGTAATATTTAATAGGTGTAATCCCCACCAGCAATCGCCGCGCTGGACAGGCTCTTGACCCTTTTGGCCA